TCTTCACTGTTCATCTTGCGGAGACATTAAAGACACATCTTGACAGTCTTTTACCCTTTTCATAAAATGAACTCTAGCAGGCATAATAATATTATGGCTTTTGAAATTATGGTATTACAATGCTAATTCATAACAAAGACGATATCGAATTCGTCACTGAATTCCCATGTTTTTTGGGACACCCTGTATATATATATAAATATATATATGTATACATTTTATGAAGGAAATTAATTTAAATACAATGCATCAATTATTTTAGCGCAGTGGAGGTCATTGTTCACTTAAACTAAATACAAACAATCCAAACATTTTGTGCTCTTAAATCCACAAAACTACTTCAACTATTAACAACACTGTTATTTTGGTTCGCAGTGTTATATAGTTTTTGGACAGAAATGTTCTCATTATCGTTAAGGACAAGGTTCAAGTCTTTTTAGATTTAATTTATTTCTCAATCTCAATTGACCCAAAAGCCTGAGTCAGTCTCGGGACATTGGGACTGTGCAAAAAACCTGGGACAGCCCCGGGAAGTTGGGACTGTCCCAAAAATCCTGAGTCCCAAAACCATGGAGTTTATTTCTCAATCTCAGAGATCAAAAAGCTTGGAACAGCCCCGGGACTTGGAGACTCTTCCAGATGCCTGGGACGTTACAACTGTCCCAAAAACCCAGAGTCCCAAAACCATGGAGTTTATTTCTCAATCTCAGAGACCCAAAGCCTGGGACAGTCCCGGAACTTGGGACTCTTCCAAAAGCCTGGGACAGTCCCAGGACGTTTGGACTGTCCCAGAAGCCTGGGACAATCCAAATTTTAAGGTTTTTGACACTTGCTGGACTTCTGGACGTTTACACTTAAATGATCACTTTAAATAGTCCATTGAGCTTGGGACACAGAAATTTTGCAATGTAATCAGACCCATTTAATTTAGACAGTAATTTAATAAGTATCTATGCTTTTTACCCCCATCAAGGATTATTATAAAGTCGTCTTCTTATTTTAGAGTTTTCTGGTTAGTCTTTTAGGCTAGCTTTGATCGAGTGTTTTGGTTTAAACGATTATTTTAATTTTTTGTTTGTTTTAAGTTAGTGATATGGATGTCGAAAGTTACGTAGATGAGGTCATGAATGAGCAGAAGGAGGAGAAAGAGGAGGATGAGGAGAAGGAGAAGGAAGTGGATGAGGAGAATGAGGAGGAAGGAATGAGGAAGAGAAAGGTGGGACTTGACAATCCCGGGTTTACCAAGGAACCAATCCTAAACGGTAAACCTGGATCCATTAAATTTAATCCCGAAGATATGGCTGGGTCAAGAACAGAGACATTTTCTTCCAGTTCCAGGTAAATATTCTTCACATCACAGCTAAACATATTTACCCTTTTTCTAAAAATGGCGTTGCAAAAATATCTCTTTTATTCTAGCTGACAAGGTTACAGGGTGGTAAACACGATAAATATACTTGTTTTTTTTTTGTAAGAAGATGAAGCATATTTGATGACACGCTTCAATCTCTGACTAATTTGAAATTGCATTGAATATTCCGTTTTATGTTGAGATTTCTTTGTCGTTGATAATCAGTGAAAGGTACCGTTGTGAATCGGATTTTCTGGGAACTATATTGTTTTGTAAACCTAGTGTAGAGTTTGAGGATAAAGAGTATACTGGGAACTATATTGTTTTATAAACCTAGTGTAGAGTTTGAGGATAAAGAGTATACTGGGAACTATATTGTTTTATNGAGTAAAAGAGAAGAATTCTTGTCCATCTCTAGACCACAGGTGTAATTTCAAATCTAGTCCAGAACTCACTCCAGCTTTATACAACTCTAGGAGCCTGTATGTAATATTCATGTTTGTTGAACTGGATTTCCCGCCATGATACAGCCGGGTCAGCTGGTTAGATCTGGTTTGGGAGAGTGAGTTGCTTGTTGTTGACGGGAGCAGGTTATGAGAGAGACTGAAAGACAAGATTCATCCTCTCATTCTTGCTCTAAAATACTAATGTGCTCTTGTACTTGGTTAGAATCTTGATTTTGATCTTGATCTTGATCTTGATCTTGATCTTGATCTTGATCTTGATCTTTATCTTAATATTGATCTTGCTCTTGTTTCTGTACCCTTTTTCTAGTTCACGTTTTAGTTCTTTTCATAGTTCTTATATTTTCTTGTTCTTGTTCTTGATATTGTAAAGGTTCATATTCTTGTTTTGTTTTTGTTCTTGTTCTTTTTTGTGTTCTTGTTCTTGATCTCGTTCTTGTTTTTCTTCTTGATTCTGTAATTGTTCTTGATTTGTTCTAAATCTTGTCTTCATGCATTTTTGCCAATTAAGTTTTCCCTTTTAATTTTTTACATTAATTTTTCTGTTAATCTGTTTAAAGTTTTGATGTGTTTTCAAGTTTTTGTTTATGAAAATGAATATTTTATTGTCCGTGTAGAAGAACAGTAAGCTAGTAAGAACTCTAGGAACAGCAAACATTTTAGAAAATAATTCGACAAAGTTTTTAATTTTAAATTTTACATCTCACGCACCCCTGACCCTTCAGCAAAAGTAAATTCAACCTAAAGCCTGACCACGTCAACCTTGTTGCACCGGTGCGGCTAGTCCAATTGAGTGTTTGCTTTATTTACCCAATGTCCGGGCGATACAGTGCAATCTGGGACCGGAAAGGTTGACCCGGCTCGGAAATTCTAATGTACGACAGCTGCCCGTGTATCAAATTTAATATCCTATATTATCAAATTTGTTTATCATCATAAATTAAAATATTTTTTAAAATTTACATATGAGATAGTTATATATATATTATATGATAAGAATTTGAAACTACATTATTTGCTGTGTACTGTAGTTCTAATATTGTTTGCTGGCCTCTACAATGCATATTTTATTGCAGCAATACATTACGGGATTTCTACAACACAAAACAATTTAGGAAAACTAATTTCATCCTTATTAAATTAATGAAAATTAATTTTACTTTTTGCCATAAAAAAAATGGAAAACATGATAAAATTTAACGATTATTACATTATTACATCTTTCTAATGTATTTTAAAGGAACTTATCATTCGCCTTAAACTTTTATTATCCTCATATATTTGTAATCTTATGTCGTAGACCTTTGATATTTCAGATTGTGAATTCTGCTATAGATTTGCTTGCAAAGGTTTACAATATTATATCAAAAATTAAAAATTTGAGTTCTAGGCAATGTTTTTTTCCAAGATATCAATCTTTAAATTAAAATCATATTAAAGGAGCTAGAAAGTTAAAATCTATAATGGAACCCATATAAAACTGTGGAAAAGGAAGACGATATTTAAACAAACTGTATTTGACGTGGTTTGAAAGTAAAATATTACCATATTAGCAGTAAAACTTATTAAATGAAATGAGTCTGTTTATAACTGCACACTTGTTGTGTTCATGTTCATTGGACTATTCAAAATCATAACTTGGGACAGACCGGCTATGTAAGATAGTTAAACTGAGTATGCAGTGTTGTGGATTCATTTGAGAAATATGAAACGTTTAAAAGATTTATAGTTAGAGTGCAAAGTCGACTGTCAAAATCGTACTTTAGGGTAAAAACGTTTCCAGAATTGTTTTTTTTAATTATTAAATAACGACGACAAAAAATGTAAATAAAATTCTACAGTAAACTAATTAGTTGTTTAGGAACAAGTTGAGAAAATAAAAATCAACTCTTATCATCGAAAATAAGTAATATTATTTCAATTATAAGTTTCTATAATCTCTCTTTTATCAAAAAGATTTTCTGCAGATTCTCTGGAATTTTTATCAAAAAGACGACATTTGAAGAATTTGAAGAAATCTGCGAACAAATTTACAGAAAATAAGAAATTCAATATAATGATAAAAAGGAAATAATTAATTCTAACTTTGATTTATTGATAAATTTCTTTTGGGAAATATGTTCCTAAACATCCAATTAGTTTACTATAGAATTTTTACTGTATTTTTCGTCGGCGTTATTTAATGATTTAAAAAAACCGATTCTAAAAACGTTCCCACCCAAATTCAAGATTTTAAACGTCGACTTTGCGCTCAAACTCAGTTATTTTACATCGTGGAAAAGTTTTATATGTCTCAGATGAATCCTAGATAATTTTTCCACAACACTGCATACTAAGTTTAACTAACTTACATAGCCGCTCTGTCCCTTTAAGAGTTAATGTGTCTAGTGTCTAGTGTCCAATTTCACAGTGTTATAAGTCTCGACTTCCGATGCATGCTAAAATCAGGCATTGATTTTTCTCTCCGTTTTGTGACTTGGGAGTACTTCGAGAAAAATTACGATTCCGAGCTCCGAGTAAGAAAAAACCGACACAGGACCCTGAGAAAAGAACAAATACTTTTTATGACTATTCTATGCAAAAACTACAAACAACTTCAGAGAGAGTATTGCTATAAAATTTTCGAATCCGTCCTGAAATAGTTCTTCTTGAAGAATGACCTTGAAAACGTGATTTTTTACTTTGAAATTATTTGGTTTGGTAAACCATTCAATATCCGTTCCCAGACATGTCGTCTTCACAATGATTTGTTGTTTTTTTCCTCAGAACCTATATCGATTTGTTCGTACTCTACACTCGGAATCACAAAATTTATTGTTCTATTTGTGAATTTCTTTTTTTTCTAAGTAAAAGTTTTGATGAAATTTTGTTGTTTAGATTACTGTACTGATGTAGGTTTCCTAATAATAATAACTGTGGTTGTATATATAGGAATTATATATTACTATCTCATCAAACCTAATTTTCCTGTTAAACATATTCAAAAGATTTCGAGAGCATTAGGTAATCATAAAAATAAAGAAAATTAAGAATTAAAATTAAATCAAATATCATTTTAAAAACTGTTAAAAATAAATTTTGAATTTAAAAAATGTTGACCGCCAAAAGTTTAAAATTAATATATATACAATTAAACACATTAAAAAAGATACAAGAAAAAATTAAATAATACTGAAAACACAATTTAAAAGAAACATTGGAAAATGTTTAATACAGACTTGACATTACAATTAAATGCTGAAATATTGAATAACATGTCACATGTCATAATCAAATTTTATTTCGGCCTATGCATAATACATCCCATTTATAAAAATGTTTAAATTTTAGAATAAAAGAACAAAGTGTTGAAGGGACTGTGGTTGCAATTTCTAGTGACCTTACATAATCCATTTCAAGAGGGGCATGTCTGATTCACAATAATACCCTTCGAGCTTTTCTCTGTTCAATTATATGGAATATTTCGTCATGGAGATATATGTGTAATCGTGATATATAAGTAACCCTTCATGCAAAGATTGTAATGCCCGATTTACAACGGTATCCTTTAAACCCTTATTTGATCCTAAAAGGGGAAGATACAGTCGTTTTCCTAACTTAAAAAGTGCTCAATTCTGATAATGCATATATTGCTTCTATATAGAAATGCACAATTAAGTCACTTTTGCAGAGAAATGAATATAAACTGTTTAAAGAAACAAAATGTATTTATCTTATACTACTTGATCATAAAAAGCTTTAAAAGTTACCGTAGTGAATCGGGCATTGCCAGCTTCATATAGAGGGCCACTAAAACATCACTTTTACAAAAACCAAAATTGAAGAAAAAAATTATCAAATTTTAAAACTGAAAATCTTACTCATTATTGAGCATCAAAACTTATAAGGGTTTAGTTGAGATTTTGACATGACACTCTACAAATAGAGGGTTGCACTTGAAATTACGTTTACTGTCCCTTTAAATTGATTATTATTTTGCTTTTTTATACTCGACTTGTATACAGCTGATATTTAGGAAATGTTAGAGCTCGTGTCCCAGAGAGATTATTCAACATTATTGTCTACGCAGGTTCGACAATCTTTTAGACAAGGGTTTACGTTCTCAAGATTGAATTCGAGGATTTGGGGGAAAAAGATTGAAATTAGACATCAACCAGCAAATGTTCTCAGCTTTAAAAATGTTTTGTGCTAAACGCAAACATTCCTTAATGATCAGGAGAGAAAAATTAAGTATGATATTTAGATGGAGTTTTTAAAAGAATGTATATTCATCATTTAGAACATTATTTTTTTTGTCTTTAAAATGGATTAAAAATTAGTTTAGAAGCTTCTAAAAGACATCCTGCAATTGCAAACCTCTTGTTTGTACCTTTGTAAATTATACAATTATATCAATAACCAGATACAGTAATAACCAGAAAAAAATGGAATGAAAGTCGTCTCCCTTTAATTTTTCTTATAAAAAACGTCGCTATACCAGTCACAGGACACAGGCCAAAGACTTACTATTCTGTAACTATTATGATTGATCAGTTAAAATAAAAAATATCCTTAGCGGCATTTCAAAATAAATATTGAACATATTCACTAGTTTTTTCTGCATCTTAAAATACTGATATATAAACTGTAAAGAAAGATACCCAAATCTAGATCTTGAATAGCTATTAAGAAGTGGCTGAACAGATTATAATGTGAACCAAGTTAAGGGAATTGGTTTATCTAGGTCTATGCAGTTCAGCTTTAGAATTTAAGTTGCAACTAATTATCCACATAGTTGAGTTTATTAAACTGATTTATTATATTTGGCGGATTTTTATATTTGGAATTGACGGATTCTAAAGATTTGATTAGAATGAGTCTAAAAACTGCCATCTGTGATTTAGTCTAAAACCTGGTTCTATGGAATTATGACTCGAGCTGAACCTATAAAATCGCGGGCTCTAGTATCACATATTCTTGTTCTATAGTTGGTCCGGTGTCTGTGTGTATATTTATCCTGGTTGATACTAGAGATGAACCACACCGTCTATACTCTGCTCTGGGCATCATAGTTCTAATTTTCCTTGGATTTATATTCTCAAAACATCCAGGTATAGCCTTATACTTCCTACATACTAGCTCCTATCCAGGTATAGCCTTATACTTCCTACATACTAGCTTCTATCCAGGTATAGCATTATACTTCCTACATACTAGCTTCTATCCAGGCACATGAAAAAAAAGGTCCAAAAAAGAGAAAATATACTGAAAATTTTTGAAAGGAAATGAGTTTTTGCCACAAATTCTGATTTTCTAATCCCTATATTTTTACAACCTAATGTCGTAAACCTTGGATATTTTAAACTAGCACTTCTGTTATATCTATCGAGTTTGAAATATCAAAGAAATTTACACAGTCAAGTTGCAAAGAAATGGACTTTAGACAGCAAACCAGGAATAGAAAATTTATTATTCCAATTGCTTATAATTTAAAAGGAGTTATGAACTTATGATTGAAGGTATATTAGATTTCAGTCTAAAGTGTTGTGGACTTGAGTCTTTACCACAAACTCTGATTTTCGAATTCCTATATCTTTGCAACCCAATGTCGTAGACCGTTGATCAAATAGTCCACGTTTGAAATTACAGGTTTGCACCATTCGTTTGCAAAGATATAGGGATTGGACCATTTGAGTTTGTGGCAAAAACTCAGTTTCTTAGTAAAACTTTTCAGTAAAACCTTTAAAGTTTTTTAAAAACGAACCAAGCTATCCAAGCTATCCAAGCTATCCAAGCCATCCAAGCTATCCAAGCTATCCAAGCTATCCAAGCTATCCAAGCTATCCAAGCCATGTAAGCTATCCAAGCTATCCAAGCTAACCAAGCTACCCAAGCTATCCAAGCTATCCAAGCTATCCAAGCTATCCAATCTATCCAAGCTATCCATGCTATCCAAGCTATCCAAGCTACCCAAGCTATCCAAGCTATCCAAGCTATCCAAGCTATCCAAGCTATCCAAGCTAACCAAGCTATCCAAGCCATCCAAGCTATCCAATCTATCCAAGCTATCCATGCTATCCAAGCTATCCAAGCTACCCAAGCTATCCAAGCTATCTAAGCTATCCAAGCTATCCAAGCTATCCAAGCAAGCATTAGAAAATGTTGCTTACTAAAGCGAATTTATTATATCCTTAAATCACTGATATTTTGTTTAAATGAATACTTGTCTAGGATATGTAGTTTGGAGGCATATTTTGTGGGGTCTAATTCTTCAGTTCATATTTGGTCTAATTATACTTCGCTGGGATGTTGGCAGAGCTGTCATTGGTTGCCTTGGGAATAAGGTATTTTTTTTAAAACTTAATCTTTAGGGGACTGAATATACGTTTCTTAAACTAACCTCTCATCTAGAGAGTTAAATTCCCGAATGAAGAAGATATCTTGGTTTTTCCATCCAAAAATTTACAATTTTGGGATGGGCGTGTTCCTAATTTTTTAATTCGTTCGTTCCATTTCCCAGGAACGACTCCTAGTCCTTTTAAAGATGACAGACTTTTCCTTATTTATGTTCAGAGCTGTAAGTATTTGTTAACAACTTTGTTTGCAAGCTGTTTTATATTTAAGGAATATTAATATTTACTTTCTAGAAGTGGCAGAATATAAATATTCACATTCAAATTTATAAAACTGCGTTGGACAAAATATATTCTAGAATGTCCAGGAATTGATTTGAGTTCACACAGTACACTAGACGATTTAGTGATTTTTTACTCAGCATTTAAGAGATATATTCACGTATATGTTCTCTGGCACACAGGTCTACCGCTTTAGTAATTGTAAATTGGCGGCACAGTCCAAACTAGGACCGCAAAGGTTGGCCCAGCACGGATATTCAAATGGACACGTGCACCGGTTGGTCGTGCTGGCCATAATTTATTTCCTTACTTCATATTTGATTAAACACCAATTTATCATGAATATAAATTGCTAAAGTCAAAATAAAAAAGTTTCTTTAATTTATTTACTAAAAATCTTTCTTCCTCCATCCTGCCATTCGCGTCTTATCTTTTCATTGTCTTTTAGGTTGCTTCCTTCCTGGCTTTAACTAATACGGGATCTAGTTTTGTATTTGGATATCTGGTTGATGCTAAACCATTTAGTACTTCACAACTCAATGGTACAGCCGCAGAGGTTGCTGGAGAGGTGATACATTTATTCTATTTTTATCAATTTTTTCATTGAATAATTTTTCCACATAATTCTGTAGATTTTTTTCTTATATGTCTTTATAAATACATAATCCTATATAACAAGACATTTTTTTTGTAGCTTCGTACTTTGAAAAAAAGCAGTTCGAATTCAAAACAAAAAATCTAAAATAGCCCAAAACTTTTTTCCATTTGAGCCACGGATATTTAGTGTTTTCTCTATATTATACTTCTCTATATTTAGATAAATTAGAGTGTAAGTGTAAGAACAGTATTCTCCAGTGTTCTCTCTTTATCATTCTTCTCTATATTTAGATAAATGAGAGTGGAAGTGTAAGAACAGTATTCTCCAGTGTTCTCTCTATAATCTACTTCTCTATATTTAGAATAATGAGAGTGGAAGTGTAAGAACAGTATTCTCCAGTGTTCTCTCTATAATATACTTCTCTATATTTAGATAAATGAGAGTGGAAGTGTAAGAACAGTATTCTCCAGTGTTCTCTCTATAATCTACTTCTCTATATTTAGAATAATGAGAGTGGAAGTGTAAGAACAGTATTCTCCAGTGTTCTCTCTATAATATACTTCTCTATATTTAGATAAATGAGAGTGGAAGTGTAAAAACAGTATTCTTCTTTAGTGTTCTCTCTATATCATACTTCTCTATATTTAGATAAATGAGAGTGGAAGTGTAAGAACAGTATTCTTCTTTAGTGTTCTCTCTATAATATACTTCTTCAATTTCTGTGTAGCAATGCTATTTTATGTTGGCGCTATGCAATGGATAGTTGTGAAACTAGGATGGATTCTACAGGTAATATTTTAATATATTGTGAACCCAACCAAGGGTTCATCCCTATGTACATAATCAGATATATGTTCATTGCTCCAAGTCGGAGAAATGATGCACATAAAATATGCTACCTCAGAATAAAGCCAAACAGTCCAGATTCAGTCCAGAAGACTATTGAACTCCGAGTATGTTTGCAGGTTTAAATATATAACAGTGTAGGTGGATAAGGGTATTGAACCCTCCTTCTTATATATAGATAGAAATTCAAACCAATAATTATTGAGTTATGGAACNCAAGTCCTACACAAAGCCTTCTGGAAGGAAATTGAAGAGCTAAATGTTATTTAGAAACGCAGAATATTTCAATTTATATTGTGATGTAAACAATGAAACTCCCAGAAATGCTTCTGGGAAGGTTTATCGTCTACATCTTACAGGGTATTATGAGATAACCTTTTAACTCTTTAGTTTTCTTTCTCTATGGTTTTATGGCATTGAGAGACACCTTGAAAATCGTCTTTGATATCTGATAATTCATAAATGGTTTAGAGTTTAACAAAAAAGATGCTTTCCTAATATTCGTCTACCTCTTAAAAATTGACGGAGATATTAAACATTTACACAAAGCCAAAAAATTGAAATCTGGAAAAATCTCTAAATATATCTGTCAATTTTAAAATTGCAAAAATTGGAAATCACATTTTGGAAATACCATTACCAGTAATTTTCAAAGGAAAATGTTTTAAATGGGATATACTGGGTTAAAATAACTTAATTCCCATGTATATTTGGATATCTGAATATTTAGGTTACAGTTGGTACAACTGCTTGCGAGTCTGTGAATGCGGCAGCAAATATATTCCTGGGACAATCTGAAGCTCCTCTTCTAATTAAACCATATCTACCACAGATGACAAGGTACAGGCTGCTTTAGAATACTGGGTGTCCCAAAGAAACATGGGAATTCAGTGACGAATTCGATATCATCTTTGTTATGAATAAGCATTGTAATACCTAATTTCAAAAGCCATTATATTATTATGTCTGCTAGATTTTATTTTATGAAAAGGGTAAAAGACTGCAAAGATGTGTTTATAATGTCTCCTCAAGATGAACAGTGAAGACGGACAAGTTTACTCTGTTTGTATACTGTAATTTTTTTTGTTTTACTAAGTACAACCGTATGCAGTCAAAACATAAGAAACAAAATGTGAACATAGCAGACGAAACTCTTACAGATTACAGCTTTCTCAGTAGGTATCACTGAACTCAATCAAAGAATTATTTGAAAGACAATATAGAATTCGTCACTGAATTCCCATATTTATTAGGACACCCTGTATATACAGCGACCGAAACTTAAGAGAGGGTGTCAGTACAAAACCCAGTATTGTGAAAAAAATTCTAATTGGTTAATAATAATATGATCACCCTCCGCACTTAACACTACTATATCTTTGGTCAGTGTTCTGCACAGAACGCACCAAAAGTCAGTGTTCTGCACCAAAAGCCTAGTTGAGGGTGTGGTGCAAATTTTTTACTGTGCATAATGCTTTCAAAAATAAGCCATTTAAAAGGAAACTTTGAATCTATTTTTGGGAAAACAAAGTTGGGCAGTTTACACAATAAAAGAAATCATCTTTTCTTCAAGTCAAAACTTAAATTTAAAAACATCTTTATATTTATATTTTGCATGACGTGAATGGATTTGTGAAAATTGTAATTTGTATGCCCCAAATGTGCCATGTAAAAAAGTAGTAATTGCCGGAAGACGGAACGGTGTGGCGCATGCCGGCCGTACGACAAAAAAGCTAATATCTGGCTACTATTTAGTTCCGAGATTCATGCAGTTATGACAGGAGGATTTGCTACTGTGGCGGGGGCAGCAATGGCAGCTTATATCAGGTATTTGCCGTCAACATAGTTTAATTTACATTAAAGGAATGGCGTAATTTTAAGTAATCTTTAATTTGTAGAGCAACGTGTCAAATTCGCAAGATTACTCTGTAAACCTTTAGGTGATAAAGGATTACGGACTAATCCTCATGTTTCTAGAGAAACGTTTGTAATTTTTTGATAGTCGATGATTTTAGTTTCTATTTTTTTCAAAGAGAAAGCTAGTTGTAATTTATTTTATACTAGCTTCAAGGGAACCCTGCGTTACCCGGGTTACTTAAATAATTACTCCCGCCGTTTACCCGCACTTGATCGATTTACTAGGAAACTAAATGTTTGCTATTAAAGTCGTTCCAGTCAACTTAGACTCTCAGTCTTAACCCAAACTAAGAACATTTCCGTAGTTCTCCTGAGTTCCACAGCCAAAATTTGAGGCAAATCGGTCGAGGAGTTCTTGAGTTATGATCGGCCAAACAAACAAACAAAGATGAAAACTTTATTAATATTTATTTATTTTCTATTAAATCTTTTTTATTGTCTTTTCTTTATATAGCTTTCTTGCTTTTCCTTTTTACTTCTTTTTATATTTCTCTTTTTTGTCCGTTTATTTTCTAAATCCTCTTGACTCTCCATGTCATATAAATTTTTCTACACCATATACATTATATATATGTATATATATACAAACCATATTTGACTAAATTTGAACTTTTTTGCTTATGGCCTTTTTAACTTTTTTATCTTATCGTTAATTATAGTTATTTTTACATTTTTTTAGTTTTGGCGTATCTGCCTCACATTTGTTAACTGCCAGCGTGATGTCCGCCCCAGCTGCCCTGGCCTACGCTAAACTATTCTATCCAGAAACTAAAAAATCAAAAACCACGTTTGATCATGTTGTTGTTCCTAAAAGTAAGATAAACAAATTGGTTTTGAAATTTTATTTATACTAATAATAATGATGATGTTATATATATATTGTTCAGTTAACAGGTCTAGTGAGGAAAGGAATATTATCTATATATATATATTGTTCAGTTAACAGATCTAGTGAGGAAAGGAACATTATCTATATTAGATGCTGCTTCAAATGGGGCTCTTCAGGTTTATTTTGTATTTTAAAAAAAATCTAAAAATATTTTAAAAACTTTTAAATTTCAAAATTCTTAATTATGTTTAGGCTGTATTTATAGTGGGTAACATAGGTGCATCACTGATTGCTGTAATAGGTATTATATGTGCTTTTATTTTTGTTTGTAATTTGAATATTACAATTAAAAATATGGCAGATAACAAAAAACTTAATTTTTACAATCTATATAATAAAACAAGACATTTATATATATCTTGCGTATAGTCGGCCAAACGGATTATATTGAAGGGAGTAACAAATTTAAAAAATCTGAACTCAGTTTCTATTAATTTTTTCTTTTTTCTTAAACTTTAAATCTTTAGCGTTTGTGAGTTTTGTGAATAGTTTACTTGGTTGGTTTGGTGGAATGGTTGGAATACCTTTTCTCTCCCTGGAATATATTCTCAGTCTAGGTTAGAACAAATTATTAACATTATTTTTCAATTTTAATATTTTTATGTTTTATATTTGTTTTAGTATTCTACCCCTTGAGTTTCCTGATGGGTGTTGAATGTGTTCCGTTTAATGATTGTTGTGAAACTGGAACTTGTCCTGATACAGAGTGTAATCAGGTCATGGCACCAGGACTAGGACTAGGACTAGGGCTAGGACTAGGACTAGGACTAGGACTAGGACTAGAACTAGGACTAGGATTATGACTAGGACTAGGATTAGGACTAGAATTAGGACTAGGACTAGGACTAAGACTATAACTAAGAGTAGGATTAGGAAAAGGACTAGGACAAGGACTCGGACTAGGACTAGGACTAGAACTATGACTACGACTATGACTACAACTAAGATTAGGACCAGGACTGAGAATAGGACCAGGACTAAGACTAGGACCAGGGCTAAGATTAGAACCAGGACTAATACTAGAACTAGGACTAAGACTAGGATCAGGACTAAGACTAGGACCAGGACCAAGACTAGGACCAGGACTAAGACTAGGACCAGGACTAAGACAAGGACCAGGACTAAGACTCCAAGACTAGGACCAGGACTAAGACTAGGACCAGGACTAAGACTAGGACCAGGACTAAGACTAGGACCAGGACTAAGACTAGGACCAGGACTAATACTAGGACCAGGACTAACTCTAGGACCAGGACTAAGACTAGGACCAGGACCAGGACCAGGACCAGGACCAGGACCAGGACCAGGACCAGGACCAGGACCAGGACCAGGACCAGGAAAAAGACCAGGAAAATATAATAAGAATATAATAATTCAATGAATATTATTTTCTAGTGTTCCATAGTTGCATTGCTGGTAGGGTTGAAAACTATAGTTAACGAATTTGTAGCTTATGAGAAGGTAAATACGTTTACAGGGAGTGTCTGGATAGACATAATAGTTGAGCTGAGAATACAGTATTGTAGAGAAATTTGTTTGGATTCATTTCAGACCTTTGAGACGCTTTACGGTGCATGTTTGTTTAGAAAGAGGCAAATTCGATCTGTAAAATCCTCATTGATTGTTCATTTTGGAAGACTTATATTGAGAATAATTTTTTAATTGATAATTAATTTTACGCCTTTTAAACGTTTCATAAGCCTCAAATGAATCCTTAAAAATGTCTCTACAACACTGCATGCTCACTGTTTCCACCGGAATTCCGGAATACGGTTTACGTACGACATGATCCGGAAATTTTTTCCATTTCCATTTTGGAAAAGGTCCCGGAAATTCGAATTCCGGAACGATTTTTTACCGTAAACCGGAAATTTCCGGAACGTTGTTTCGGTTTACGCAACAAATTTCCGGATCATTCCATTTCCATAGCTAGACAAGACACTCCCTTTAAAACTTTACACCAGTCTGCACAAAAAAAACATGAAATTAATTGACTTAATTAAAATTGTCTTTGCTTGACTGTTTTTAAAATAACGAATTATTCTTTTACAGTTTTTGTTGTAAATGTAAATTTTGAATATCTTAATTAGCATAGTTCACAAAAGGTTTCTAAATAATATTTACCATTCTAAGTCTGTTATTAGAAAGCTATACTAGCTCGACACTACAATTGTTTGTTTTGAATCTTCATGACAGAAATAAATCTAAGAAACAGAAAAGAGTCAACCCATGGACCGAAATATATTTTTGTAATGAGGAACTAACACCTAATTTATTTACTCTATGAGTTTTGGATCATCATCAACACAAAATTATAAATATTACTTATTGTCACGAATATTAAAAACAAAAATTATTACTTCAATATTTGTTGTATCTTAAATTAAACAAATGTTCTTATACTTCAGTCCGAGTTGAACATTATATTGTTTAGTTAACGGATCTAGTGAGGAAAGGAACATTATCTATATATATATTGTTCAGTTAACCGATCTAGTGATTAAAGGAATATTATCTATATATATATTGTTCAGTTAACAGGTCTAGTGAGGAAAGGAATATTATCTATATATATATATTGTTCAGTTAACAGATCTAGTGAGGAAAGGAATATTATCTATATATATTGTTCAGTTAACAGATCTAGTGAGGAAAGGAATATTATCTATATATATATATATTGTTCAGTTAACAGATCTAGTGAGGAAAGGAACATTATCTATATATATATTGTTCAGTTAACCGATCTAGTGATTAAAGGAATATTATCTATATATATATTGTTCAGTTAACAGGTCTAGTGAGGAAAGGAATATTATCTATATATATATATTGTTCAGTTAACAGATCTAGTGAGGAAAGGAATATTATCTATATATATTGTTCAGTTAACAGATCTAGTGAGGAAAGGAATATTATCTATATATATTGTTTAGTGAACAGATCTAGTGAGGAAAGGAATATTATCTATATATATATATTGTTTAGGTAACAGATCTAGTGAGTAAAAGAATATTATCTATATATATATTGTTCAGTTAACAGATCTAGTGAGGAAAGGAATATTATCTATATATATATACATTGTTCAGTTAACAGATCTAGTGAGGAAAGGAATATTATCTCTATATATATATTGTTCAGTTAACAGATCTAGTGAGGAAAGGAATATTATCTATATATATACTGTTCAGTTAACAGATCTAGTGAGGAAAGGAATATTATCTATATATATATATATTGTTCAGTTAACAGATCTAGTGAGGAAAGAAATATTATCTATATATATTTTGTTTAGTTAACAGATCTAGTGAGGAAAGGAATGTTATCAAGTAGATCTGAAGCTATTGCTACCTATGCACTATGTGGCTTCTCCAACCCCGCATCTATTGGTAAGTCCTGCTTTAACCACTAACAGTTTTCTTTTTTTCCTGACGTTTTTTGTTTCACGACAAAAAAGAAAAAAGAAGAATAAAATTTGGGGTAAAAAACTACAATTATTCATTGAAATTATTCTAAATTATAGATGAAGAGTTATTTGTTTTCAATCTTCATGACAGAACAATCTCAAGAACTGACGAGGGTCAACCTAGACCGAAATCTATTTTCAATAAAATGTGGAACTAACATCTAATTTTTTCTCTACAGAGGTTTGGTCCATCACCATCACCGAATTTTAGATTATATATGTTCAGGTATACAGATTGCTGTTCTAAGCTATATGGCCCCGTCTAGAAGAGGAGATATATCAGCTGCAGCGTTCAGAGCTTTTATAGCAGGTATAGTAGTTACAAGGTTACCCATCAATAATGAGAATGTAAAGACGACCTGAAACTCTGCGTGATGATTCCAAAGCTAATCTAAGTCTTCTGCTTTGAATATAGTTGTGTAATGACCTACGTATTTATCTGACAAAGCAAGAAACAAGTAAGTCATGATATAGAAACAAATCAGCCGTCTCTGAAGTCTCATCCTTTGTGTGTAACCCTGTATATTAATAGGATTAACGACGACTTTCTAGGACGCTTTTGCTTTTAAACAAGTTTACCACCACTTATGTTTTTATGGTTAGATTTTATAACAACCACCTAAAATTTTAATTTTCGGTTCATTCAACATATATTCTAATTACGTCGTCGTATATATCAATACAATGAAGACGACTTTAGATTTCAATTTTGATTTCCACCAGGCTTTCAAACAGCATAGATACATATAATCATGGAAACAAAGAGAATCTGTCATTTACCATTTTCTCTTTGTTTAACCCTAAACAGGCTGGGGGGGGGGGTTTGGCTCCCCCCTCTAGNCCCTAGCACCCAAATCAAACAACCTAAGTTATTGGTCTAATTTTTTCTTCAATGAGCTGGCCTTGAAAAATTTGGCTATGAACATGCATTTCAACCCTATACCTTTTCTCTAAGGCCTTTTTCTAGGGGGGCTTAGGCTATACATAGATTCAGACCCCCCAGCCTTTATAAGGGTAAGTAGTAAACTTATAATTTGAAAATCGCATGTTAGCAAAATTTTAATAAACATAATACATTTATATTTTAATTAAAGAATTTTTTTCTTTTAATCAGTATAGTTTATAATAATTCTATTTTTTAGGATCTGCATCATGTTTTCTAACAGCTTGTGTCGCTGGGACACTTCTACAAGATTATGGTTAAAGGGACTATACTTGTTATTCCAAAAGACCTTTTTAATACCTTAACATTTTGTTATTGTTTTAACAAATAACGTTCAATTTTTCACATTTACTATTGATAAAGAGTACAATTAAAATCGATAGTAAATGATTCGTATTTGTATGTTTTATGTAATATATAGTTGAAGTGCCCGTGAAAAAATTATTTAAACTTTGAAGAAGAAAAAAATTAGATTTGTAAACAAATGGGAAAACAAACAAATTTTATGTGACTAGGTTTTACCCTTTTTTACATTTTTCCACTATAAGGACTTTTCACTTTCTCTGATTCATTTAGCTCCCAAACTCATGGGAACTCTACAGAAGCCTAAGAGAAGCCACCTCACTCTCGCTGAGCCTCCTGAGACGGCTAGAGATGTGCATCGTTTTTGTGAAAGAACGAAATTTTTAAAAACGGACAAAGGTTTTTTTGTGAAAGATGGTGTCGTTAAAAAACGAAAGAGGAATGAACGACTTGGATCGTTCAGAGAAATAACGATGGTTTTTATACTGAACGAACGAATCTTTCAAACAAATTTAATAACGATTTTATTGAACGAACGATATTTCTGAACGATCCTTTAGCGAGAAAACGAACGAAATAATTGGAAAATGAACGAAAATGTTGAGAACAAATGAAATTATTTTAGTTTAGAACGATTTAAAAAACGCAAGAAATAGGGCGTTCACGATCGATGAACGAACGAAATGAAAAAAGCCGAAAATGCCCATCTAATAAGACAACTTCCTGTTGGCTTGAAGTTTATCGAAATGAGTGCAAACAATTAACTCCGGGATTGGCGGAAGTAATTTGCAAAGAGAAAAGTTTGCTTGGTTTGGTTGCACTTGAGATTCATAGAAATTGCAATAAGTTGTGAGGGGGGGGGGGGGGGGCCTTGAAAGCACAAAATATGAGTAAGAGCGTAGACGGGAAAGTACGGATTGAAGAACAAGGCATTAAAAAATTTAAAGCGGGGTTTCCATCTCTTGAACTTGAACCAGAAAGATTGTAAATTATTGTAAAATATTCTTAAGTTCTCAGTTTTAAAATTAGTTGGTTTTGTTCAACACAGAAACCATTTTAAATAAATTTTTTTGTGCAATTGAATATCAATATCTTTTTTGTCTATTTTGAACAAAACCTAATTTGCAAACTTTTTTAATGTTTTTTAAACTTTTGTCACAGTCTCTGAAGAAAAAATTACAAAAGATTTTCATTATGTATGTAAAATTTACTTATTTCAATATTTAAACAACCGTTAACATCGTTATTTAAAATAAAAGTATTATGTAATATAAAAAACAAGAAAGTTCCATTAAAACTGATTTTTTATTGACTGCTTGAGTATTATCGCAAGTTTGACAACCAAATAACAAATTTAAGTTTATCAAAAAAAGAAAAAAATCAATCAAAGAATTAATATAATGATGATTTATTTAAAAACCTATGAATTATAATTGTATTTACATAATATTTGACAATATATTTTCTTTAAAACATGAAATGAAATCTATGCCAATTATACAATTCATGAAAAATAAATATTTTTCAGAGTTTTACCAGATGAGTAAACTACGTTTACAATTAGTATAAATACAAGATGTCCCACCAAACATTATTGTGAGAGTTTATGGAATCCGTTTTACATTTAACAAAAAGTCTAAAACATTAATTACAAATTACTCCTAGTCCTGATTGAAATTTCTCATTTCTCCGGTAGTTTTAAAAGCTGAGCTTATGACTGCTGCATATTATTACAAAATTCAAAGACTATTTTAAAGTCTTCTTGCAACTGTAATGTTTCGTGGGACACCCTGTATATTGGTAATGACAAACAAAACTAAAAATTTTAGTTTTTCATATCTATCCTTTATCTATGCTTTTATTTTTGGCATGACAGTTAGAAATGATAACATAATATTTAAAATATTCTTAATAATATATTTTCCAGAATATCGTTAGACTGTAATTTATCTAAAATAAAGATTTTTAAGTTCTATGTTTATGGACTAATGAAACAAATAATATTAATCAACTGACTCCAGTTTCAATGGTATCAAAAAGGCATAAATGATATTTTGTCACGGGTTTTTTTTCTTCAAATGATTTAATATATAAATATACTTTGCTTGTCTGTTTGTTTGTAACTGATAAACGTCAAAACGGCTGAATTACCGATCGGGTCCAGCTTTTTTTCTGGAACCTCACATGATCCCAGGGAAGGCTTATGGATGCTCAAAATTAACAAAATGTGTATATTTAAGTGTTTGATTTTTGTGAAATTTTGAAAATGCGGGAGAAAAAATTAGTTTTGTTATTGTTTTATATTTACAAAGAGAAGATGAGATAGAGCTAAAAATAAAAAATTAAAAAAGAGGATGGACGCGAAGCACCCAAAAAGCCTAGTAAGTTAATATTTAAATAGTTTTCCCTGATCCTCTAGAGTTAAATCTTGATCCTGATCTTGATCCCGTGGATCTAATCTGATCCAGTATTTTCTCCATGTGTAACATTGTATTTGAGGTCACATTCCTCTTGAGAACTCTCTCAAAGTCCGGATGTTCCATCAATGTTTTTAGCGCCATTTTAGCGTAAATCCGGGCCTCCAGGCTTCCATCTTCAGCCATTTTAGCAATAGCAGGAAGTAGTTTATCTGTGATATCTTTAGCTCCACTCAGGACTTTCTCAGCTCCTATCCTATCTGTAACTAGAGCTAGGAGACGGGATACAGCAGTCCGGATAACAGGGTTCTTGTGATGAAGAATTTCTCCGGTTAGGATTGAAATAGTTCTTACTGGAGATATGTTTTCTACCATCCGGTCAAGGGATACGTTGCAGTCCTCTCTACAAAAATACAATATTCAAGAAAACAAAACCTTGGAAAATATTTGAAAGGAAATAGGTTTTTCATAACTGTTTAAAGATGCTTTGGACGTATTTTCAAATGGCCCCCATCTATAGAACTCTAGGTGTGTCTAATTCACAACGCAAAGTGCACAGTTGTAAAAGTCATTTTACATTTGACCTAAAATGATTGAATTATATTTAAATAGTTCAAGTTTAGAAAGATTGGAAAGCATTTGTTTTTTAGTGACAAATAATTCGGAAAACTTTTAGCCTTAGTCAAAATTAATAAATTTCTGTTTGTCATCGAATTTATTCTTAAACCGTTTTAATATTTCTCATTTTTTCTTTTGATCTTCTTTTAATAATGGTTAAAAAAACAACATTATTAAGTAAAAAAAATTTAATGAGTTTTACTTTTCTCCGTTTTAGTTTTAGAAAAGAAAAACATGTTTATATATTTATCATCTTTCTTGATCCAATATCGATAGAGGAACCGATACAGTGGTAGGCGATTATATCAATTCAATGAAGACGACTTTTCTATTAAAGTTTTGATCCCCAACAAGCGTTTTTTAAATTACAAGATTACAAGTAAACAAAGAGAAGCTGTTAATTGACAGCATCTCTTTGTTTCCATTTGTATGCATATCCATGCTTATTGAAAGCTTTTTAGAAATCAAAATTTATATAGAAAGTCGTCTTCAATTTATATAGAAAGTCGTCTTCAATGTACTGCCTCAAACTCTTATTTTCTAAGCCTTGTCTTACTTTTAAAATGCTAAAAAATTGAAAGTTCGAGGCAAGTAATCAGTTATTTTTCAGCCATCATATTGATGTAAAAATCAGAATTAAATGGTTAGAGCTGAAAACTTTAGAATTGTGGATATCAAAATCAATACATGATCTCCTCTTTTTGTTAATCTTAAGATAAATATAATCTTGAGTTTGTAAAACTCCGCCAATCTGGAGTGGTGTTTGGAGAAACCGAAACACCCAATCAGAGAAGCCGAGAAATTTGAAATTTAATGAGTGAACTCTCATTGGTCAAACAAAGGACAGATATCCAAAAAGAGAGAAAAAATGCGGATTAAGAAGGAAATTAAAAGTGGCCACATTGGATATTCAGATTAAGCAATCAGGATTAACGGTATCCAATTCTAAAGTTGTCAGCTCTGAATCAAGGATGTAATGCAAGGAAATTTATTTCAGAAGTGTACGCATCTTTTGTACTGCAGTGTACTGTCTCTGGGCGGTAATGTAAACACAAGACGGATGTCGAAGCCTGACATGGGATCCATCTTTCACATAAAAAATCAATGAAACATTCTGGTCATAGAAAAATATTATGTGAATTATCAAAATTTTAAAAATTTAATGCTTTTAACCTCCTCGGATACTAAACGAACACTGATGCATCTATTCTTGTTTACAAATTCTGCCAAGAAAGAACTGGTTTCAATATGTTCGCAGAGTATACGCAACTGTAGTTAACTTTCCTTGCATTAGCACCTTGCTCTGAATACAGTTGTTTTTAATTTTCTGGCTGAATATTGTATTTCCTGAGGAACTTGTTTGTCTCACAAGTTTTCAGAAGCAATGGATTCACGACCTTTAATATTGACATTCTTCATTTCAGAAATAGAAACAGAAAACAGAACTCTTGTTCTGTGGATATCGTGATCAATGTTTTTTGTTAATCTGCAGATTAATTTAATCTTCATTCGATATCCCACATGGTAATCGTACCTTGAACGGATAACTGAAATAAAGAGATAAAGTATTAATCATCAAATTAAAAGTGTCCACAATTGATATCGAGATCAAACGATCTGGATTATGAGTATTTAACAAGCTATGAAGAATTAACTTAAATATTATTATGATTAAAATTGATAAAAAAATGTCAGTATTTTCCTTCTCTATATCGCTCTCCATATTGCGTTTAAGATGGTTAAACATCTCCCCGAGTACAGTCACTGCAGCCCTGGCCACCTGGCTCCTCAGGTTCTTGACTTGCTTCAGCAGCAGCTGCATTAAGCTCTTGTACTCAACTATCACAGTCTCAGGGTGGTGAACCACCAGGCGGAGTAGTCCGGTCAACCCGTCAACATTTTTCTCCCAGTCATCAGATTCAAGCTGATCAATGGTTTTATGTAATCCTTCATCTGGTCTAGCCCAGGGTTGGATGGTTACTCCGTCATACGGAGATTTCAAGTAGGGTACAGTTAGCAGGGGGAGTTGTTGGTTACCGGAGAGGTTTAGGTTACTTCCTGCAGTTGATCTCCGAGGTACGGAAACTACACTACTCTTAGTTCTACGGTTAGAGGTGGCAGGAACACTCATGGATTGATTATATCTTCGTTTAGGAGGCTCAGTTTTAGGATGAGGGGTAGGGGGTTCGTCATCAGGGAGTTCGGAGGGAAGATCATTTGTGCTCTTGGAGGAGTAGATATTTGGTATTAACAGTTCCTCCTGCCTTGGTTTTCTGTCTGGAGAAACACTCTTTGTTCTTGGAGCCTTTTTAAGGTAACTGGCTTTTTTAGACTTTAAATAGGATGTTTTGATAGGTTTAGGATTAGTTTTCTTCTCAGAGTGGGGTTCATTATCTAGCTCATGTTCTGTTCTTGGGTTGGATCCGTTCATATCTGGAGTTTTTCTGGTTAGTTTAGGGCTATACTGGTCTGTAGCACTTATTGAACTGTGAGGACTTCTAGGATCAATAGGAGATCTTCTCATGGTCCCTGGACTAAACTTCTCGATCGGAGATCTTCTTAGGGTCGCTGGACTAACCTGGTCAATCGGAGATCTTCTTAGGGTCCCTGGACTAAACTGCTCGATCGGAGATCTTCTTAGGGTCCCTGGACTAGCCTGATTTAATGGAGATCTTCTTAAGGTCTCTGCACTGCCTTGATCTACGGGAGATCTTCTAACAGGTCCAGTATTAAGTTGATCTATAAACGTATCTGGGCTCTTTTTTCTCTTATTATCAGGTACATGGGCTGGCACTGAACTTGTATTAGTTTTCTCCGCAGAACTAGTTGAACTTCCATTCCTGAGCAGATCCTTTCTCCTATGCAAACTTGAACTTCGTTTAATCGGAATCTTGCTAGATTTGGCGGAGGAGGCGTTGAGCGCAGAGAATTCAGATTCTGAATCTGATGTGAAATCATCCTCGTAATCATAGGTTGATATCCCTGAGATCTGAGAGTAGGGAGTGGAAACAGTATCCGAAGATCTTGTTAAATTTCTTCTTCTCAAGCTAAAGGGTGAGTTCTCTACTGGGTTTAGAAGAACTCCGGACTTGGAAATGAGTGGAGATTCTCCGGGGAAATATTTTGGAGTTCTCGGACTCTCTCCGGTAGTGTTCACAGCTGATATAACTACATCATCTTCTGTATCACTGAGATCCTCAGCAGGTTTTCCTTGAAACATCTTTCTTTGCTGTTCCATCTGTTCTCTTCTTGATATTTGTACAGATTGTCCCTTTAAGGGAAGAGTATCCACAGAAATCGTTGCTCCGCGTGGTTTATGTCTACTGAAGCTGACCCTACCCCTAGTATCTGTACTGTCAACGTCATTCATACTGATTCCACTATCCCTTGTACCGCTGGAACTCGCTGTGCTCGCTTGAGATTTAGTTCCGATCAATCTGGGGAGTTCTGGTTCAGGCGTAATCTTTCTCCCCAGCTCCCTCTTACCACTCTCAGTTCTCAAGGTATGTATTGAGTTCCCTTCTAGGTTGGGTAGTGTTCCGTTCCCGGGTTTTCTAGGAACACCTCCGTTCCTGGCGGACCAGGCAGAGTTCCTAGGATAGGATGAGGGGGTGGACACCTTGCTAGGCAGGATAGAAAAGCCTCGATACCTAAAATTATCAGTTTATTGAGAATATTGACAGTTAGATTAAACCACCTAAAACACAAGTAAAACCACTGAATGCACTGTCTGGAAAATTGTCAAAAAAAAACTTTTGTGCAAAACATACTTCTTTGAACAATTTCTTTTTGTTGTCGTCTGAATTCACTTTGGAAGTTGACATTTGGTTTTTAGTATTCCCCAACTTTGAACCTAATTGGAGGAAAAAATTAATCACCAGGATCTATTGTAACGAGTAATTGCCTTAAAAAGTATTAAGGTAAATTATCCTTGTCATGAAAGGAACGCATTATTTAATTATCATTATCCTATTTTTTTCTCTAAAAATAAACTCCATTAAACCTGCCGTGTCCAATATTATATTATAGATTTTATAACATGAGATGTTATTCATTTAATAGGATATTTAGATGAAGCAACGTTTTGAAAATAAGAATTTTATAGTAAGGAATTAATTCTTTGCCACAAACTTAAATTTTCTAATCTTTGCAACGAGATGGTGTAAATTCAAACTTATTTGATCTTACAGACTTCATAGTTTAAAATGTCTAAGGTTTGCGACATTGGGTTGCAAAGATATAGAGATGAAAAATCAGAACTTGTAGCTAAGACTCAATTCCTTTAATTCCGAAACTTAGATTGATTTTTTTTTCAGCAGACAAAGAATAGAAACAATTTAAACTTTAGTTTTCTAATCTAAATATCTCTTTGCAACCTGATGTCGGAGACCTTTGATATTTAAACTATGATTTCTGCCACATCTCATAGTGAAGGTTTAAAGATTTAAAGATGTAAAGTGTAAACCATCAGGCTGAAAAGATATTGGTATCATTTACTTAGAGTTTAAGATAATTATGTTTAGTGACCGAGTTTAACTAAGTGGAGAGATGGCTGAACTACTATGCTGGCTACTGCCTCAAGAATCATAACTTTGAATCGGTGGTTCAATATTTGAACCGGCGAAAGGAAGGTTATCCACCTAGCACAATTTCAGTTCCTTTATTTTGTTATGAACGTCGTAAACCCCTGAATCTATAAATACCTAATCTCTGACTCTGTCGAGGAGCGAGCAGTGTTTCTAAATATAAAATACATGTTTTTTCTGTTCGAAAAAATTAAGTCTTTAGACGTAATTTCTCCATTGATAGAGGAATATTGTAAACCCACACAGCTAGTTCATTCAACCCAAGCTAAGTTTTATCATGAGTTGAGAACTGGACAAACAAATAATATTGATTGTATTTAACCCGTTACTACTGGAGCTGGTATCAACGGCCAGAGGAAATTTCCAGGGCAGCAAGATTCAAATCCTGGGAATCCTTATCGGGGGAACACGGATAACGGTGCTTTCGTCGGAAGAGAAAGCAAACTGAACGTCCATTTTGTCCCCGAGAAGAGGGTTAGTCTTGATGAAGGATCAGAAGAGAGCGGTCGATCACAGCTCCAGTAGCTCCGAGAGGAGAATTAGCTCCATCTATGATTCCAGGATTAACTTCGGTTGATCCTCAGTTTGTATTTTAATAATAATGTAAAATAAATGTCCGTGCAAAGTTAGTGCTTTAATCGATTCCATCTGGCTTGTTATATTGAGTTTCTCTTTGTAAAGTTGCCTTTATTGAGTTCTTTATACATGAGTTTCTATTAAGTTTATAATATGTCTGATTCACAACGATACTCCTTTAAACCTTTGATTACTTTTCGATGACTAAGATGTCTTTATTTTTCTAGCTGAAACTTGAGTGAGGTGTGGTGTTGACAGTGTAAGTAAACAAGGATACAAACATCTAATTTTCAGGTTGAACAATAAGGATATCTCCGTCATTAATGATTTTATAAAGGTTTCAAGGGTACCGTGATCAATGGGACATGTCACTTCTAAAATGTAATTAACAGAAAAGTTTAAGACTGGGAAAGTTAGAAAGATATTTCTATAAAATTTAAGATTTCCTGAGCTATTAAAATGCATCAAAAATGTTTATAAAATGTTAAACCATTCACTGCCTTTCTAATGCATTGTAAATTTTTTATATTTGTAGTTTCGTTACTTTTTCATAAATAAGCTTCATACGATATGCATTAAGTGAGGTGCCGGAATCATGCAACTTCTAGATTTGTCATATAAAATTGTGCATTTATTTAGTACTAGCTTGGGAACCTAGCACGGCCAAGGTTACTTAAAGTTATTCCTGCCGTTTACCCGCATTTGAACGATTTTATCGGGAAACTAAATTTTCGCCATAAAAATCAACCCAACTTAAAATCTCAAAACTAAGCTAAGAACATTCTCGTGGATCTCCCGAATTCCCCAATCAAAGTTTGAGGCAAATCGGTCCAGGAGTTCCTGAGTTATGATCGGACAAACATACAAACAGGGATTATTTTCTAAATATAATTTTATTGAAAATCAAATGACCGGGTATTGACTACCGCTAACGAAAGGAAAGGGTGACTAGACATTGAAAAATTGCCAATTACGTGGTCATTGAAAAACGACGATATCTTCTCTATTATTGATCAAATAAAGGTGAATGAAGGATACTGTTGTGGATCAAGCAGGCCAATCTTTTTTAATGAAAGATCACTTGGAACTACGTCTAAAGAGATGGGAAATTTTGAATAGAACCATATATATATACATGTATAAAGTTGTAATCTCTGTTAGTCTGCTTGTTTGTTTGTCCGATCATAACTCAGGAACCCCTGGACCGATGTCTCTAAAATTTGTATTGGGTACTCGAGAGACCCACGTAAATGTTCTTAGTTTGGTTTTGAGTTTCTAAGTTTAGTGGGTCAACTTATAACGGGAAAAATAACTAAAATCGTAATTTACGACAAGGTGCGGGTAAACGGTAGAACTAACTTTTATTCCCCTTGGGGACGCTTGGTTCCCAAGCTAGAATATATATAAAGTAGAAATCTCTGTTTTTCGTTTGATCATAACTCAGGAACCCTTTGACCGATTTGCCTCAAATTTTGATTGGGGAGCTCTGTAGAACCACGGAAATGTTCTTAGTCTATAGGTTTTAAAGTTCATAGTTGAATATGTTGACTCCAAAATGAAATCTGGATTCCAAGCTAGTATATCTATAATCTTTTAAAACATGTTTTATTTCCTGGATGAATCAGTGTTCGTTGGGGAACCGCAAATATTTTCTTCACTTTTACTTCTTCTCTTTCCGGTTCCGGCAGTTTTAACCAGTAAACCTTTTCCTCCTAAACTCTTCTCTCCCGTACTTTTGCTCCAGGGTCGACGAACCTAAAGAAACACCTTATTTATGCTTATGCATTTTTTTGAACATTTAGGAAAGAGGTGAAAAATGCATTCCTTATTAATCGCAGATCTTAGGTTTCCTGGCTTGAAGGAAAAAAGTTTTTAAATAATGATTAAAATGTGTTGAACTAGGAATTGAGTCTTTGTATGTAACAAACTCTGATTTTCTAATCTCTGTACTTTTGCAGACTAAATTCGTATAGACCTTAAACATTTCAAACTATGAAGACCGTTAGATCATTATTAAAATATCAAATAATTACACTATTTTGTTTGCTAAGAGATAAGGATTAGGAAACTTGAGATTGTTGCAAAGACTCAATTTCATTTGAATATGAACTAGAAAATTTAAATTGACGAAATAAGGTCAACTTGTTATCCTATATATATATATATTGATTAATCTAGATGTCAATGACCGGTGAACAGCGGTACGCTTAAAAGCTTCTCTTATAAAGTATCATTTTGTTTCTTTAAACTGTTCATTTTCCTTTGTGCTTTCTCTGCTACATTAACATGCGCATTTCTAGCTTTTAAGAAGCAACTAAGAAATTATAAAAATTAAACACTGTTTGAGTTAGGAAAACGACGCCATCTTCCACATTTTTGATCAGATTAAAGTTTCAAGGGTACCGTTGTAAATCAGGCATTGCCATCTTTGCATGGAGGGTCTCTTGAAATTACACTTGCAGTCCCTTTAATGCAAGAAAATACAAGATTTCTTCCGAACTTCATTTCATATTTCTTATTCAATTCATTAGTTACAGGCTCAGGTAATTTGTATGGTTTAATATACCAAGTTATCTCTGGAATGGCGTCAATGTTTGGTTTGGTTTAATATCTCAAGCTATCTCTGTAATGACGTCAATATTTGGTTTGGTTTATACAGCACTAAATATACCTTCAGGATTAAACTTTTTGATTGTTATTATTCTTAGAACAAAAACTTTATTTTGTAATCTTACTTTTCTTTATAGTTCTTTTTACACTTTACTTTATTTTCATATTTCATTTTAAAGGGACTGTTCAGGCGTAATTTCAAGGTAACCTCTTTGTCAGATTAACAATGGTACTCTTAAAACCTTTATCAATGAAAAACTGAGAAAGATATCGTTGTTTTTCTATCCTGGAAAGTTTTAAATTCTGACAAGATATTGTTGTAAATCGGACATCCCACTTTATAAATAAAGTGAAAAAATTTCGAAAGTCTCTTTAAGGAAAAACTTTATTAAAGATATTTTAATTTAATACTACTTACTCGGACTCCTAAGTAAAATAATAAAATATTCTACATTACTTGAATTGAATTCTACAAAAACAGTTCCTGTTTGCTATATCAAGATATGCATGATGTATGAGTATTCAGTATGCGTGATGTACCATGACATGCTGAAGGGTTTATCAATACAAAATCGTTTACTATAATACAGAGGCTGACATATATTTCAATAAAGTATCTAGTACTGAAATGCTACATGGTTTTCAGATACTGAAATTGTTTTATATCACAATTTCACAAGCCAAAGCTGAATTAATACACCTGCTGACTACTGCAAGTATCGAAGATATATTTTTGGACATAGCTGCCAACAAAGATTTATACTGTATTGAAGACCTAAAACTCTTTTCTATCCTAAATAGTATATTTATTGTTATATTTTTAGATTTTGTAAAGAATAAAAGTACATAACAATACACAATAACTGTACATATAATTGAACATATCAGCATGCAAACGGGATTATGTACCTGGTATGCCGCAGTTCCATTTACATGTACAGGAGATACAGGGGCATGTACAGATGAGGATGCAGGACTAAGAACATGAAACACATCGTCAGCTGATGCTTCTCCGATCAGCTGACGACTAACAGCTGACGATTCCCCGTCCTGCTGACGGCTGCTAGCTGATCCAGAGCTGATTGAACCAGATCCTAAAAGAATAAGATTAAGACTAAGATTAAGATTAAGATTAAGATTAAGATTAAGATTAAGATTAAGATTAAGATTAAGATTAAGATTAAGATTGAAATTAAGATCAAGATCAACATCAGAATTGATATCATAATAATCAGTAAACAAACTTTATAAAATAATTTAAATGACTCAAAAATTATAATTTTTTTCCACTAAAAAGACATCTTGATAACAACAGCAAGCAATTAATTGTAAACATCGCGAAATCTATAAATACATTCTGGAAGCTAGGTTCAATACTATTTTTAATTAGAAATGAATAATAAATGGGTGATTGCTAAAGAGTATCAAAACCAGGAAATTCGACTTTATTGCTGCAATAAATACGATTTATTAAGATTTAGGTTGAATTGATAACAAAAACATTAATTTTCCTTGAGATTGTTTTTTGTCCCCCCCCCCCCCCCCATTGTCTTATATATAACTTATGAACATAGTTTGAACTTTGCAATGCGTTGAAAGGTTCAAAATATAATTTTACCTTTTAAAAGTCATTTTAATTGTGTAGTGATGGTTAGAAACAGTAAAGTACAAATTAAAGAATATTTTTAGAAATAATACCTCTTTAAACTATTTTTTCTTTTCAAACTATTTCTCAAAGAAAAACAACAACTTAATATTATAAAAGTTAGTTTCATCTTTTATTCTTCAAAGTTGTTTGTCGCATAATCCCCTTGAACAGCGAGTTCATGGGAAATCCGTCTAAATATATTTTAATATTTTAATTAAATTAAGGTAAATCAAATAATAAAAAATATTTTTCTGTTAAAGGAATTGAGTCTTTGTCACAAACTGTTTTTTTCTAATCCCCATATCTTTGCAACCCAAAGCCGTAGACCTTAGATATTTCAAAGTTTGAATTCTGTTAGATGAAAGAATCTAAGTTTGAAATATCAAAGGTTTACAACATTGCAGGTGGAAAAATATAGGTATTAGAAAATCAGAGTTTGTTACAAAGACTCCATTCCTTTAAACGACGTCATTAAAAGCTTTGCAAATTTTAAAAAGTATATCGGACATTGCCATCTTTGCACAGAGGTCTCTTTAAATTACGCTTACAGTCCCTTTAGAACTTTTATCTGAGTGTCAATGAGAAAGATTTTTTCTTTTCATATCTTATAAACAAATCTATTCTGTCAATTTCCCTCCTTGTTTCTGCTGCATATTAAATTTTAAGATGTGGTCTTGAATCTAAGGTGTAACTCTAAATTCTGTTGAAGTAAGGTTTCCTACTTGAATTATCCGTTGAGCATTCTGATGTTTCTTCAATAATTCGTTTTGAAGCAAAGAAGTCTCCTTTATGAACTTCATAGTCTTTTATAAAATGACTCAGCGCTGCGGTTAGAACGGTAAAATTGCAAAATTTAAATTTAAATTTTGAAATATATTTTTTTTCAAATGTTTATCAAAAAGTATAATAATTATTGTTTACATAGTTCTATTCCTAATTGAGAAGGTGCCTTTACTGCCATTTTATTTCGACATTTTTCATTAAAAGTTTTAAGAACTTTTTTGTTCCAAGATATTTATGATTTTCACCAACTTCATTGGTTCGGCTCTCAACATAGTAAATAACATAATATTCACTTTTCTAAAATTGTAATAAAAAGGTTTAGTCTTGTTAAGAAATACCAAACTGCAGAAATTGAAAGCTTTAAAACACCAAGTCCTTTAATAAAAAAACGAAATATTTCTTCTGTTAACAATACATGGTCTGATATAAAAGGGGTTTTTGAACTAGGTATGGTCCTTGTTCTACTATTTGACCTAGGTACGGTCCTTATTCTTCTATTTGAACCGGGTAGGGTCCTTTTTCTACTATTTGAACTAGGTACGGTCCTTGTTCTACTATTTGAACTAGGTACGGTCCTTGTTCTACTATTTGAACTAGGTACGGTCCTTTTTCTACTATTTGAACTAAGAACGGTCCTTGTTCTACTATTTGAACTAGGTACGGCCCTTGTTCTTCTATTTGAACTAGGTACGGTCCATGTTCTTCTATTTGAACTAGGTACGGTCCTTGTTCTACTATTTGAACTAGGTACAGTGGTACAGTCCTTGTTCTTCTATTTGAGCTAGGTACGGTCCTTGTTCTACTATTTGAACTAGGTACAGTCCTTGTTCTACTATTTGAACTAGGTACAATCCTTGTTCTACTATTTGTTCGAAATAATATCCTTATTAGCTGTGTCTGATCAAGCATACATTAGATATCCATATTTATAATTTGGAATACTTTACGATTACGGTTTATCTGCAAAAGTTTACTGCAGTAAAACATATATAATTATTTTTAAACCTAAAAACGACGATATCTTTTCCATCTTCGATCAGATAATGGGTTCAAGGGTACAGTTGAGAATCGGTTATATCAAGCCATTTATGCACGGAGGGTCACTTGATATTACGCTAACAGTCCCATTAAAGTTATCATGAACAAAACTTTTAAAAAGTATAAAATTTTGAATTTAAATCTTTAAATCTGAGATGTTGTATAGTGGACTGAAGACAAGGAACTACTATATTACATGGTTCCTTAAATCTGAGATGTTGTATACACTGTAAAATTAAGCGAGCAAAGTTGGATCTTTTTTATATTCGAATCAATATTTTTGTAAATAATATTCATGTTTATTGTATTTAAATTTCCCAAAAATAGATTTTTTTTAAATTCAAAAATACTGTAANACTACTGTATTACATGGTTCCTTAAATCTGAGATGTTGTATAGTGGTTTGAAGACTAGCAACTACTGTATTACATGGTTCCTGGATTATCAATACTGATGAATTCTTTATAATCTAACAGAAGGATTCACCACTCCTTCATTCAACAAAATATTTTTCAAATATATAAATTTTACGACAAAAATTTATATTTTTTTTGAGTTTTTTTTTTGCCGTGATTATAAGTTACCCTCTCTAAAAACATGACAATTCCCGAATCAAAAGATTTATATCAATACATTTAATTTTGATTATTTTCATGAATATGGTTCTCAACAAAAGTGACTAGCCCATTTCTACTGCAAGAAAACATTTATAAATTAAAAGAGTAAAACACTGTTAAGCTACTTGAGTAAGCTACTTGAAAAAATTGCTGCAATACAAATGTTCAGATATCTTAATAAGTGTAACATCTTTTACGAGCACCAATATGGATTTAGACCTAAGCATAACACAAATCAACCACTTTTGCACTTAATGAATAAAATTTATGAAAACCTTAATAAATCTTAACCAGAATTTACTCTTGGAATATTCCTAGACTTAAAGAAAGCTTTTGATTGCTGTGATTTAGACATACTTTTGAAAAAAACTAAATCATTCTGGTTTCAAAAACGTGGCCAACACCTGGTTTAAAAATTATCTTGTTAATAGAACTCAATATGTATGTATAAATGGAGCTTTTTCGACAGAAAGAATTATAACATGTGGCGTTCCTCAAGGAAGTGTTCTAGGGCCCCTGCTGTTTCTGCTTTATATAAACGATTTGCCCCTAGCAACATCTTTTTTTACCAGCCTCTTTGCAGATGATACTAGTTTTTTTAAAGTCATCTCCTGACATTGCAAACCTAATACTTGAGGCCAACACTGAACTAAAAAAAGCAGCAAAATGGTTTCAAGCAAATCGTTTGTCACTAAATGTCTCCAAAACAAAGTATATAGTATTTAGAAATAGAAATATGCACTTTAACCCCAACAATTGTAATATATCAATAGAAATGAGATACTTGAAAGGATTGGTAATGACTTTGTGAAAAAATATTTCAAATTTGTTGGACTTAAACTTGACGAATTTTTAAACTGGGATTTTCAAATTGAACATATCTCGAATAAAATTGCTAGCTCAATCTTTGCTTTGTCTCAAATTAAGAATATCTTACCATTAAATGTTCGTCTACTTGTTTATAACTCTCTTGTAAGGCCTCATATTGAATATGGAATTGTTACTTGGGGAGGGGTTAAAAACTTTAAACTGCAAAAAACAGATCCTTACAAAAAAGTCAATCTGAGCGGTTAATAATAGTTCTTTCAAGGCACGTTCAAATCCATTATTTTCAAAATTGAAAGTTCTTAATCTTGATGATACATGCAAACTTTGTGTTCTGACATTTATGCATGGATACTTTAATGATAACCTTCCCTCTTCCTTCCAAAATATGTTTAAGTCTTTAGCTGAACCGAATAGAACAAAATCATATAAATTAGAATGGGTTTTAAACAAAAATTTAGAAAGCTTTCCATCCGCAATGTTTCCTAAATTGTGGAATGAAATTGAAATTGACCTTAAAGAAACTAAATCTGCAAAAATATTTAAACAAAGAGTTATCAATATTTATCTTGAGAATTATGAGAGGGTTAAATGCGAAAAACCTAGCTGTATATCGTGTGAATAATTTTATATAAAAACTATAACAACTGAAACTTTATTAGCTTATTTCTGTTTCTGTAACTACCATCATTAACACCCTGTATTTTAATTTATCGCATAGTAAATTGTGATTGCTTATTTGTAATATCTCATGCTTTGTAGTTGAATAAATATATGAATATGAATGAATGAACCCCAAAAAAACGACAATATCTTCCACATTATTAATGAGATAAAGTTTTCATGGGTCCCGTTGGGAACTTAGGACTGGACGAAATTACATTAACGAAACGGAGGTTTACGAAAATTGACGGAAGAGTCCGTTAACGAACGGCAAAACCTTCAAATTTTTAAATCGTTAAAGAAACTAATTAGCGGTTTTTGAAAAAAAATATAACGATTGAAAACGAAAACAAAACGAATTTAAAATGTAAAAAACGGCAAGCATTTTTTATTTTTCTATTGTTCTTTGTATTTTGATGTTTTTACATGTCTCCAGTTCCACACTTTATATATATATATATATATATGATGGAACTTAAAAATTTTATTTTGAAATTTTGTAATAGCATGTGTCGTAAATCCATTAACGCCGTTAATCATACAAACAACCTTGAACGGTATTGCCGTAAATTGAAAAAACCGTTCACGCCGTTAAAAAAAATGACCATTAAGGAGACAGTATAGAAAAAGTTGGAACGTGCCCAGCCCTTGGTGCATGGAGGGTCAATTAACATAACAGTATCTTCAAATGTTGGCTTTATGAGCAATTCTCTTCCTACATTTTCAAAAATACGTTACGAAGATTGTTTTTTATATTAGTTTTACTATAACGATTAAATTCATGTCTCAGGGGACTTTTTACTTTAAACAGCAATAAACTATTTCATGATATTTGGATAAAACCCGACTGCACAGTCCACGAGGATTATTCAGTTGTTATTCAGTAAAATTACAATCTTTAGAGATTTAACTTCTTGTTGAGAGACATCATTAAAAATACAAAACAGCGTTAGATAACGATAATTAGCATTTTATTTTTATGATTTTATATGTACAAGACTTCTATCGATTAGGCCATCTTTATAAATACGTGAAAAAAAAACAACAAAGTGAATTTTTTAAATATCTGATGAGTGGTGGAAGTGATATAAAATCTCCCCCCCCCCCCTCGTTATGTAGATCATATTGATTTCCAATAAAAAATTTCATTGTTCTAAGAAGGTTTCATTATCATGACATGAAACATTATTTCTAGAAAATGTNCAAAAATGAAAAATTTGTCCCATCAATTTTAATCAAAGTTGCATTTTTCCCACTCAGATTTAAAATAATCAAATTAATTTTAAAACTAATCATTCAGGTATTACAACCTATAAATGTCAAAATCAATTCGAAGCATTCGTATTTAGTTAATATTTCATAATATTTTCATTCTTAAAATTTTGAGGATTTTTGACAACGAAGACGACATTTTCATATTTTCCTTCGAAAATCCTATGAGTTGTGTCTTTTTATTTGCATATGAGTCTATCTATACTATACCTGCAAGTATCCATTCTATATCATGATCCCAGGACTCACGAGTAGGACTTCGACCAGACACTGGGATCTACAATATTAAAGGGACTGTTATCTAATACAAGGGATCTAGAATATTAAAGGGACTGTTATCTAATACAAGGGATCTAGAGTATTAAAGGGACTCTGATATAATACAAGGGATCTAGAATATTAAAGGGACTCTTATCTAATACAAAGGATCTAGAATATTAAAGGGACTGCTATCTAATACAAGGGATCTAGAATATTAAGGGGACTGCTATCTAATACAAGGGATCTAGAATATTAAAGGGACTGTTATCTAATACAAGGGATCTAGAATATTAAAGGGGACTGCTATCTAATACAAGGGATCTAGAATATTAAAGGGACTGTTATCTAATACAAGGGATCTAGAATATTAAAGGGAATGTTATCTAATACAAGGGATCTAGAATATTAAAGGGAATGTTATCTAATACAAAGGATCTAGAATACTAAAGGGACTGTTAACACATAAAAGATCTAGAATATTCAATAATTCTAACTATTTTTTAAAATTTACCTGAACAGCGTATTCTACTAATCCACCCTGGGATAGTTTAGCAAGCTGACGTCTAGATAGTCGAGCCTGTACAGCATTCAATACACCAGAACCCTGTACAGTTTACAATAGTACATACAGTCGAGCCTGTAGAGCATTCAATACACCAGAACCCTGTACAGTTTACAATAGTACATTCACAAGCTGACGTCTAGATAGTCAAGCCTGTACAGTATTCAATACACCAGAACCCTGTACAGTTTACAATAGTACATGCACAAGCTGACGTCTAGATAGTCGAGCCTGTACAGTATTCAATACACCAGAACCCTGTACAGTTTACAATAGTACATTCACAAGCTGACGTCTAGATAGTCGAGCCTGTACAGCATTCAATACACCAGAACCCTGCACAGTTTACAGTAGTACATACACAAGCTGACGTCTAGATAGTGGGGCTTGTACAGCATTCAATACACTACACCAGAACCCTGTACAGTTTACAATAGTACATAAACAAGCTTACGTCTAGGTAGTAGGGTTTCCACCAGAATTCAGGGTTACGGTTTACGTACGAAAATGATCCGGAAATTTTTTCCATTCCCATTATGCAAAAAGTTCCGGAATTCCAGAACGATTTCCGGAACGATTTTTTTCGTAAACCGGAAATTTCCGGAACGTTGTTTCGGACTTACAGAACGTTACGGAATATTGTTCCGGAAAATTCCGGTTTACGGAACAATCGTTCCGGAATTTTCCGGAAAATGTTAACGACATCTTAAACTTATGTAAAAGATAAATCTAGTACGTAATACTATCTAAATAAAAATATAATGCGCGCCTGGTGTAGCTGTATTTAAAGTAATACTACTGTGAATTATAATGAAATGTAAATCCTGACTGCCATGTCTCAAAATAATGTCATCTACAGAAAACTGAGGAAAGGAAGATGACAGTCTAGTTGATTTTGTTCCAAAGCAAATAGGTTGACCCTAAACAGGCTGGGGGGGGGGGGGCGTTTGACGCCCCCTGAAGTTTTTTTAGTTCTAGCACTCTCATTTTTGACACTATCACCGTGAAATTTTGTGACTTTTAATGAATAGTAGTTTAAAGGATTTTTTTGTTAAAAAACCCGTTCTGTGAAAAAAAAAATCTAAAATAGCCCATAACTTTTTTTTTGACTAAAGCTACAGATAAAAAAACTCTATTTTTGAAAAGCCATTGAAATTCAATGTAGAAACATGTGTCACCCTTTTTTACCCTTTTTAATTTTTTTTCTTTGATTATTTGTGAATATATACAAAAATGCGTATTTATTATATGTCGATTAATAAGTTTTAACTTTAAATGTTTTAACATTGTTTTCTATGTCTTACATTGTGTTAAAATTTTTGGATTTGGATTCCTATCATTTGATTAAAAACAGTTCCCGATTATGCCATAGAAATAATTAAGTCATGTGTTCATAAAACAGAAATAATATATTCCAATCAGCAGAGCACATGAGACCAATTGTGGCGGAATCCAACGAGGTACCAGGCCCGTCTATAATGTACCAAATACCATGAAAAGAGTGTTAATAAGCTCATCATATTAAATAAATACTCGATCTTTAAACTTTATATACCAACTAAAAATACAATAATATCTAGATCATAACATATTTATTATTTATTTGTCATTATAGCAAATATTTATCAAATCAATGTACCCGGATTAAAGCATGCTAGATAATAATAAACGTGGATTATCCTTATGTAAGAGAAGAAGTTATAATTATTGAATATGACATTTTGATTTTATACAAAGACTGTAGAAGTTCTTTCGTAATTTGACTCGCTTGTTCTAACATTTATGCTTTTATTGTTTTTTGTTCTTTGAAAAATCATGTTCTATACGTTTTCAATGTAAATCAATCATTTAAATATAAATTGTTTTATTTGTTTCATCCAAGAATTTAGTGCAAGGAAAGTTAACTGCAGTTGCGTATACTCTGCGTACATATTGAAACCAGTTCTCTCTGGGCGGAATTTGTAAACAAGAATAGATACCTCAGTGTTCGTTTAGTATCCGAGGAGGTTAAAAGCATTGCATTTTGATAATTCACATAATAGTTTCCTATGACCAGAATATGTCATTGATTGTTTAAGTGAAAGATGGATACCATGTCAGCCTCCGACATCCGTCTTGTGTTTACTTTACCGACCAGAGACAGTACACTGCAGTACAAAAGATGCCTACACCTCTGAAATATCTTTCCTTGAATTAAATCCTTGGTTTCATCTATTTTTTAGTAATTGTGTCCCAACATTCTTTATATCCAGAGCTACAAAACAAATATGGGTGGCATGAAAATTATATGGCCGGTTACACTTTATGAAGATTAGGAACTTAAAAACTGGACTGCAACATTTTCATTTTTGTCGACATCAAACTTTATATCACAAAATCTTGACTGTATGTATATTACCTTTTCAAAATGGCTCTCCAGTAACTCTATGGCTCTCATCAATGGAACTGCTTTTGATGGACCCAAGAATGCTGCTAATATTGCTACACATTCTAAAAATAAAACTTTATACAAAATATTGCTTCGTTGTTTAAAAAAGTTGCCATCTCCAATTTACAAAATAACGAAATAGTAAGTACAAAGAAAAATTTCTTCGATAAGACTAACTGACTAACTAATTTATTATAAATGTCTAACCCTCTCTTTAATGACACTAAGTGACTAAACAAATAACCTAATTTAACATTTTTAACTCTCTCTTTGATAACACTAAGTGACTAACCAACTAACCTAATTTAAAATGTCTAACTTTCTCTTAAACAACAATAATTGACTAACCAAATAACCTAATGTAACATGGCTAACTAACTAACTAACTAAATAACTAGCTAACTAACTAACTAACTAACTAACTAAATAACTAACTAACTAACTAAATAACTATCTAACTAACTAACTAACTAACCAACCAGCTAACTAACTAACCTAATGAAGCATGTCGGACCCTTCGCTTAGGATCGACCAGTGTTGGAACCACAGTAGCAGCAATATTCTTCAAGTCAAACTCAGAACTTGGAAACTTTAGCAAACCAAACATAATCATATTCAGAATACCTTCCCTAAACATAGAAATGTTCAGTAATTAGTATACCTTCCCTAAACATAGATATGTTCAATATACCTTCCCTAAACATAGAAATGTTCAGAATACCTTCCCTTAAACATAGAAATGTTCAGTATACCTTCCCTTAACATAGAAATGTTCAGTATACCTTCCCTTAACATAGAAATGTTAAGTATACCTTCCCTAAACATAGAAATTTCAGAATACCTTCCCTAAACATAGAAATGTTCAGCCTTTAAATGCAGGCTAGACATGCGCATTTTGATGAATTAAAATTAGTTCGAACGAAAACAATTGTCATATTTTTCAAATCCAACTCAAGCTGCTCAGAAGTGATCAAATCAATTTGTACAAGAACAAAAAATGGAAAAAAATAATCTATGTTATGTTCACTTCTACCCACATAGGATGAGACTGTAAAGACTTAACTTTTGAAATTTGACGATCTTGTTATGGTTTATTCAATGATTAAGGCAAAAAGAAACAAGTTTACGGTTGCAGGGAATCATGAGTATATGGAAACAAACAGTAAACATTCTGTACAATCATCTCTGAAGTCTCATCCTTTGTAGATCCCTGTGTACAAATATAAAAATATTGTACCCCTTATGTACAAAGTTGATGGTTTCCCATAAAAGGATGAAACCTTCATGACAACTGTACAGAAATTATTCAGTCTGTCTAACATTAATTGTTACCCTTTAGCTGCAAACCTTTTAAATTCATTTATTTTAATGAAAAAATGCAGTAGATACTGTACAGTAAATTGTACATAATTACCTTGTTGCTGCCCGTTTATCTCCTAAATGATCTAGAAGTTGATTCATGACAGAGTTGGGTTTGAGGACGTATAAAACCTTCTCCAGAACCCGGTATATCTCCATCCTTACGACCATCTACCAAACCAAATATTAAAACCATTTACCAAACCAAATATTACAACCATCTAACAAACCAAATATTTACAACCACCTACCAAACCAAATATTACCAAACCATATTGTACACCCTTCTACCAAACCATCTACCAAACCAAATGGTACAACCATCTACCAAACCAAATATTTACAATTATCTACCAAACCAAATATTAAAACCATTTACCAAACCAAATATTACAACCATCTAACAAACCAAATGGTACAACCATCTACCAAACCAAATATTTGAACCATTTACCAAACCAAATATTTACATCATCTACCAAACCAAATATTAAAACCATTTACCAAACCAAATAGTACAATCATCTAACAAATCAAATATTTACAACCGCCTACCAAACCAAGTATTACCAAACCATATTGTACACCCTTCTACCAAACCATCTACCAAACCAAATGGTACAATCATCTACCAAACCAAATATTGGAAATATCCACCAAACCAAATATTACAACCATTTACCAAACCAAATATTAGAAACATCTACCAAACCAAATATTACAACCATCTACCAAACCAAATATTGTTAGGAGTTAATGTAATCAACCAACATTATCTAAAATATTTCAATAAATCTGCATAATTGCTCTTGTTGTCTTCCTATTCTACAGTTTTATGAACCCACTGTACGTAAAGTTTAATAGACCAATTATTTATCATCTAGATTTTTGTAAAGATTTATTAATTAGTTGTTTAATTCAGAGCAATGAACCCAAGTCAACAAGCTCAGACTGTGAATGCATTATTAATTAATAATTTGTTGCTGACGTCAGGTTTTTACGCCGTGGCTCAACCTCGAGGTTTTTAGTTTAGTTTAATCTTTGGGCTGTCAACTATATAAAGAATTATTAATTAAACTTTTAAATAAAGAATAAAAAGTTCGAGTTTTCTACGCAGCAGGAAAATGTTTTACTCTATTCAGAGCTTCTAACTTCTTAGTTTTCATATTCTAATTTTCTAATAATCTTATTTTTTGCAACCTGATGGTGTAAACAGCTTTCAAACTTTGACAATACATTATTTATGTAAAAATATACGATCCAATAATCTAATAAATAACAGTATGTACTTTAATGATCCATGATCTAATGATCCAATGATCTAATGATCTAATGATCTAATGATCTAATGATCTAATGATCTAATGATCTAATGATCCATTACTCTAATGATCCATTAATCTAATGATTCATTGATCTATCAATTCAATGATAAATTGATAGAATCATAGAATCGAATAAAATTTATCTTAAAATGAGTTTAATTGATTTACTTCATGGATCATATGATCATGTGATATCTGATAATCTAATGATCTAATTGCATGTATTGATCCAGATATTATTTGTTTTATTAACTCGACCTTGTTGTTATGAAACTATGTGTCAAGTTTGTAAACAATACTAGGTAATTTGTAAATAGAACTAAACACGACTATACCATTATAGTGCAAGAAACCAAACAAACAAAAATGCATAAATCGATCACAGCACGTGACAACACTTGTTCCTGTACCATTGACAGCACGTGACATCATCCATGCAATAATCAATGCTACATAAATGCTTGCACCATTGACAGTACGTGACATCATCAATGGATTAATCAATGGCATGTCACATCACAAATTCTCAAACTATTGCAATGACAGCACGTGACATCATGCATGCAATAATCAATGCGAGCCCTTAACATCATAAATGCTTGCACCATTGTCAGCACGTGACATCATCCATGCAAGGACCGATGACAACGTGAATGAATGAATAAATCCATGAAAGCACGTGATATAAGAAATGCATAAATCTGCACGAGATATTATAATTGCATAAATCCATGAGAGCACGTGGTGTCATAAAGTCATAAAGTCATATGAGTTTTTAAAACTTCAAATATCAGCCATCAAACTATTTTCATCATGAACTACAAAAAAAATGTTAACCCAAAAAATAGAATAAATTAAACTTTAAACCACAGTGAAAACCAGAGAACAGTGGAATAGGATGACGACATTAAAGCAATGTTACATTTGGCGAATAGTTTTATAAATCACTTATTAAGTGAAATAGGTCTGTGTACACTGCACAACTGCTGTAACTTATGTTCATTTGACTATTTTAAATAATTGCTTGTATGTTAAAGATGTCTTCTTATTCCAGAGTTTTCTGTTTCTCACTGATGGTGAAAATGAATAAAACTAAAGGTTTAATGATTAGTTAATAGTAAACGGTTCCTTGCTTTCTCCAGAGTACTTTAGTAGAGAAGAAATCAGAGATCTGAAACAAATATTTTCATTTAATAAAGAACAATTAAATAATTACTCTGCTCAAAATCTAATTTTATAAATTGTTAATATTATTATTATAATATTTCTTATTATTATTATAATTTTTTTTATTATCATTATTATTATTATTATTATTATTATTATCATCATTATTATTATTATTATTATTATTATTATTATTATTATTATTATTATTATTATTATTATTATTATTATTATTATATTATTATTATTATTATTATTATCACTATTAGTATTATCATTATCATTGTTATTATTATTTGTAACATAAGGTCGTAGACCTTTGATATTTTAATTCATGAACTATCTTTAGCCTGTTTGGTTTACAATAAGTTTTAATAAAGACAAATTAAAATTTCCAGTTTTTATTAACTGCTTATTGTACAAGGCCTGAAATGTAATTTTCATTTTTATTTTAAAAGTCCAATTCACGAGGTACTCTATAAACTTTGTCCTTGCCAAAATGATGGAGTTATACTTATTTTCTTTCGGATAATTAATGTTTTTCAAATGGGGTTCTCTTCTAAAGTGACTTATTAAGCAGATTTAAGAGACTTGCGGTCTGCGAGCTTATTAAGCAGATTTAAGAGACTTGCGGTCTGCGAGCTTACTAAGCAGATTTAAGAGACTTGCGGTCTGCAAGCTTATTAAGCAGATTTAAGAGACTTGCGGTCTGCAAGCTTATTAAGCAGATTTAAGGCTAGACTTAATAATCAATATTAAATCTTTTAAACCCGATAAAGGGATAAGGTACCGTTGTAAATCGGAATCTTGTAATTACGTCAAGAGTCCCTTTAAACCCGATAAAGGGCTAAGGTACCGTTGTAAATCGGAATCTTGTAATTACGTCAAGAGTCCCTTTAATGCTCACCTAAGATGAGGTTTAATTTTAGTTTTAAGCCGATCTACTAGTGTAATATACATATCCAGAACTATCAGGGTCAAACGGAAATTTCCTTCTTCTGAGAAAACATCATAATATTGTTGATCATTCAAATGTTTCTTTACATTATTAAACCAGAGATGAAATTTAAAGAATTTGAGCCGCGGTTTAAATCCGCCAAAACCTGGTTTAAATTAAGCGCCGGCTTAAATCTTGAAACATTTGATACAATTTTAAGTGGTACCAACCATATTTAAACCGCCGCTCAAATTCTTTAAATTCGGCCACAGTATATTTAACAAAATGAACGGTTTTACTGTAAAAATAAAAGAGATTCTTTGACATAAAACTATGTTGATAAAAATTGTCAATAATAAGAGGATAAAAAATGGGCGTTTAATGTAAAACTAAAAAGTAATTATTTGACATTGAATTAAGATTCATGGCAAAAAAGAGGCAATTTTAAAAGAATACCAAATGCTAAATCTTCAAAAGTTTATTTAAAATTCGGTGTTGTGGATGTTCCAAACCTCATAGATTAAATATAATAGATGTTAATTCCATATTTGTTGTAATATATTTTGGTCTGTGTTGACCCACTTTAGTTCTAACGATATTAAACCAACCAAAATCAATATTCAAAAATGTCAAAAATCATAAACAAAAAAATGAAAAATTGCCAAATCTAAAATTTCGAATTGTTTAATGAAATGATGTTCCTAAAAGAGAGTCCAAGAAGTTAAAGAATACTCTGAGCTGTGGGATTAAAACTGTTATGTCAGGCATAGTCTTCAGGGCCCTGTAACATATATAGATATTTAATATGAATTCTACCAAAACATATATTTAAAATTGAAATATACCAGGTTTACAGTTTACACCTTCAGGTTGCAAAGATATAGTGATAAGAATATTAAAGTTTGTGTCAAAGACGACTCAATTCCCTTATTTTGCTTAATCTATATTTCATTAGTCTAAAGACTTGACTCCAAAACAAAACTTCATTTGACTCAGAGGAGCGCCGTAAAGAAACCAATAAGATTTTCTTGTGATTAAAAGTCCAATATCAACTATAAATATCAATATGACAAATACAGGATTTAGCTGGTTCAAGTGAAGAACATTTTATCAAAATACAGAAACATCAGATAAAAATATGATTGATACAGATCAATATTGAATTCACTTCTGGTAAAACGGAGTATAGACTTAATTTCAAGGGCCCACCATTTGAAGAGTTAAATGGCCTATTCACAAACCTTTGTCAAAGAAAAAAATAAACAGCAAAATATTGTTATTCAGATAGTGGAACTTTCAATTTTAATAGTACTTGTCTATATTAAATTTCTTAATATAGACACCGGGCGCAGGCGGTACAAACTAGGACCGTAAAGGTCGGTTCAGCTCAGATTCAAATGTACATAAGTTGAGTGTGGACAAGTGTATAAGTTGACCTGCTTAATTCATCAGCTCCCTGGAGTCTAGTCTTATATTCGTCCTCGTTCATCAGCTTTTCTATAATCTTAAATAAAATATTTTTGTTTTTATCATGTTTACTTTAGGATAATCTTTCTTATTAAAAATTCTATTATTAAATATCAGTTTTCAGGGAAATTTTTAAAATAACAATCAAACGGCTACAACGACTTTTAGACGGAAAAGTTGAAATCCTCTAAAACTCTAAAAGATATATTCTATAAATTAAAATGGTATCTTGACAAACAAAGAAATTTTATTTGAAGTCAATGAAATCATTTATCTTAGAAATCAATTAATCAGTGGTTTACAGAGATAATTACAAAGAATTGGATTGTAATGACGACATGAAACTCTGTAAAAATGAGAATTTGATGGATAGTATTTTGTAGATAGTTAGACTTTTTAGGCGTATATTAAAGATTTTTCTTGGAGATAGATATAGTGGACCCGATATACATGAGGATCAATGGATCCAAAATATCATGGATCAATAGATCCAATATACCAGGGGATCAATGAATCCAATTTACCTGTGGATCAATGGATCCAATATACCTGTGGATCGATTGATCCACTATACCTTGGAATCAATAAATCCAATATACCTTTGGATCAATGGATACAATATACCTTAGGATCAATGGATCCAATATACCTTTGGATCAATGGAACCAATATACCTTGGGATCAATGGATCCAATATACCTGGACATCAATGGATCCAAATATCAGGGATCAATTGATCCAATATACCTTGGGATCAATGGATGCAATGTACCTGTGGACCAATGAATCCAATATACCTGTGGATCAATGGATCCACTATACTTTGGAATCAATAGATCCACTATACCTTGGAATCAATAGATCCACTATACCTGGGGATCAATGGATCCAATATACCTGGTGATCAATGGATCTAATATACCTTGAAATTAATGGATCCATTATATCTTGGAATCAGTGGATACTGGATTCAATATACTTGGAATCAATGTATCCAATATACTTATTTGGGATCAATGCATCCAATATACTTGTGGATCATTACATCTACCATTACTGATATCAATGGATCCAATTACCTAAGAATAAACTTAAGGATCAATAGATCCGATATACCTGGGGATCAATGGATCCAAAATACCTGTTGATCAATGGATCCAATATACCTGTTGATCAATGGATCCAATATACCTGGACATCAAGGGATCCAATATATCAGGGATCAATTCATCCAATTTACCTTGGGATCAATGAATCCAATATACCTGGACATCAATGGATCCAATATATCAGGGATCAATTGATCCAATTTACCTGTGGATCAATGGATCCAATATACTACGGATCAATGGATCCAATATACCTGTGGATCAATGAATACAATATACCTTTGGATCAATGAATCCAATAAACCTGTGGATCAATGTATCAAATAAATCTTGGAATCAATAGATCGATACCTGGGGATCAAGGGATCCAATATACCTGGAAATTAATGGATCCATTATATCTTGGAATCAGTGGATACTGGATTCAATATACTTGGAATCAATATATCCAATATACTTATTTGGGATCGATGCATCCAATATACTTGTGGATCATTACATATAACATTACTGATATCAATGGATCCAATTACCTAAGGATCAATGGATCCGATATAGCTGTGGATCAATGGATCAAATATACCTGTTGATCAATGGATCCAATTACCTAAGGATCAATGAATCCAATATAACTGTGGATCAATGGATCCGATATAGCTGTGGATCAATTGATCCAATATACCTGGGGATCAATGGATCCAAACTCACTCCAACTACGAGAGAGTTTCCGTCCTACTACTCCACCTTCGCTCCCGAACCTAGGAAAATAAAATTATAAAATTTTGATCCATCCTTCAAATATTGTAATATTATACGAGTTTAGATATTTTTACATCTTTTATATCTTTAGAGTCTGTCGTTGTAATTACAAATGACCCTTTATCATTTAAATAGGGTTAGGCCCGATGCACAACAGTACACTTTTTAAATACTTTTTAATAAATAATGTGGAAGATATCGTTGTTTTCTAAGTGTACTACAATTTCCTCTATTTTTTCTGTAGAAAGTCACTTTTCAGAAAATTAGGCAACTGTTGTGAATAATAAAAACCATTCTCTGAGAAGTGAGTCACTTGAAATTGCGTTGACAGTCCCTTTAATCCCGATTTCGTGGACAGTCCCTTTAATCCTGATTTCTACCTGGATCTTGACTCACTCAGCTCCTGCCAGACTTTCCTCTGTTCGTAGTTTAACTTGTTTAAGTAAGATATAAAGATCTAATAAACATCAATATTTCTTCCTCGCTAAATATTAATAAAGAAATAATAAAAAAATTAATTTAATTGTAATTAAGCGTTTTGCGTTTTGACAAATATTGATTCCTTTTGACCGACTACATCAGATATCTTATTAATCGCTAAATATGCTTGAACTCTATACTCGACTTCAGTTAGCTTTCTAGCTAATCCACTCACTAGCATATATAGATTCTAAACAGAGTTATATATTATATTATTATTATATTATAAAGATTTATTCACACACAAAGATATAAATACATATATAAATGGTGTAGTTAAAATTTGTTTAAATAAATTTTTTTTGAAAATACAGGTTTCCAAAAGAAAAGAGAAAAAATATGCAAAATTATGCACAAATAGAAAACATTGATTTTTACTCACTACATAACGTACATATTTATCATTTCAGTTATTACGTAATCATCGAATCCTTCAACATATAAATTATTCATTCTTGTACTTTAAAGTTCTTGTAAAACCGGAACTTTCCATTCATGTTCCAATGGGACATCAAAATATTTCATTTGTTTCTTAACTAAATTTTACTAAGATCGGAAGGATTTACAGAACAATCATTTGCAATACAAAATAAATTTCTGCCAAGAACTGTGTTGAGGTCATTTTTACATAAATTAGAAAGAAATCTAATGCAAAGCTTAGAACTTGCTTCAATAGTCTCATAGAAAGACACACATCTTCTAGCTAACATGGTTTTTACATGTAAACATTGTGAAATACTTTCAATCAAGTACTTATGCGTATCTCTAGGTACATTAAAAAGAATTCTAATAGCAGTATTCCATGCTGTATACAATTTTGAAACACATTGGGAACTCAAGTCCCAAATACTAGATCCATAAAAACTACAGCAGTAAATATTATACAGTTTCAAAATAACATCAGGACTGTTAAAATAAAATTCTTGGTTAAGGGAATGAATTTTTGAAATGAAAATAGCTCGTTTTTTATTGCAATCTATGGTCATTGAATTAGCACTTTGCAGAACATTTCCTAAATGTTTTAAGTCGTTAACAAATGGTAAGGGTAATTCATTCAATAAAATTGGGGTTATTTAATTATAATTAATCCTTTCTTTAGAAAAAATAAGGCATTTAGTTTTACATTTTTCGATTCGAATATTTGTACTAAATTTCAGCTTAGTAGCTTTGGCAAAATTTTCACAAATTTTCACCATATACAAAACTAGAAAATAAATACAGTTTTAGAAAACTATTGAGTCACTTCTGGTCACTTAAAGTTAAATTTCATTTAATACTTGCTATAAAGTAATCATCGTGCAATAAAATTTCAATGGTTTCCGAATTATCTCCAAAAAATATATATATTTCTTGAATTTTTTTTGATAAATTTAAAAGAAAATAATTTGAAATCAAATTTTGGTTTGAACCCTCTCGATAAAGAAAAAAAGAACTGACTTTTTGCCACAAACTCAAATTTGCTTATCACTATATCTTTCAAACCTGATAGTATAAATCTTTGATATTTCAAACTTTAGCTATTTGATTTAACAAAATTTATAATTTGAAACATATGAGGTCTACGACATCGGGTTGCAAAGATATAGGGATAGTTTGTGGCAAAGACTTAATTCATTTCTGTTCAAAAACTAGAAAGAACTGCGAACCAAAATAAAAGTGTTAGAAATAGCTAATAATGAATGTCTTACCTTGCTGCCGTATCTAGTATCGAAGTCTGGGGGGAAAAGAATAGGAATGGAAATCAATGTTTCGTGTACTACACTCTTATCTCCGCTTTCCAAACCATATTGGACAATATTTCTAAATAGTTTCAGGCTTAGGAGACTTGACAAACACAATATACAGTGGTAGGCGATTATAACAATACAATGAAGACGATTATTAACAAACTTTGGTCGAATTACAAGTTTACAAGTAATCTTCTAGAAGATTTTTAACTGACAGCTTCTCTGGACTTCCAGGTTTATGTATATCCATGCTGTTTAACACTTTGATATAATTAAAATTGAAATAAAAAATTGTCTTCACTGAATTGATATAATCGCCTACCACTGCATCAAATCAAATATGAGATAATAATTTATAAATTACCTTAGTACTGTTTGGACATCATTACTAAACTTCAGATAAATTTGAAGAATATGAACAGTCGTCTTCCGTTGAGAGATGTTCTCGCTTCCAAGTTGCGGCACCAGGGCACTTATCAGCTGTGTCATACACGTGTCCATATCAGGCCCCAGGTGGGGTAAAATATCCTAAAACAAAACTTATCATCAACGATAGTTCTATTAGGGTTAATTTTTTTGCAACATTTTTTAACCATTTGTATAAACAGCTCAAATGACCCACATTGAAGTTTAAATTAGTATTATTTGATTTTATTTCAGTTTTTTTATGAAAGTCATGCTACTGGGCTCAGTTTCAGTCATGCGATTTTCTAATATTAGCTAATAAATATTTGCCATTGTTTTACAGTTGAATTAAGCATGAAAGCTAGGAATGAAGAAAAGATTTATGATTCTTCTTTAAATAGACTCAGATCAGGAACATGTAAGAAAGGAGGGAGAGGGGGGGGGGGTATCACCTGAATAAGAAGGAGAGCTGTCTCTTGTAATTGTGTATCCTCATCCTGAATAAAATAAAAATTAATGTAGTTGATTTTATTATCTAGTAAAATTATTTACAATGTTCAATAATATATTAAATGTACTGTTGGCATTTCCATGGCAACCGCAAAATCCAACAAATGTTCCATAAAATAAACAACAAATGTTCCATAAAATAAACAACAAATCATAATTGTAAAGCTAATATTTTGGAATTGTTTAAACCTCTTTTACTGTCTTTTTAATTTTAAAGTTTTCATCGCATATCATGAGTACAAAAAGATAATAGCTTATGACATTTGAATGTCAACTGCCTTAATAAAAAGAAATATATAAACACACACAGTTTAGGAAAATCTAATTTAGAAAATCACGTTATCTATGGTTCTTGATTCAGATTGCAAAGATAAAAAATTGTCAAAGTGTTGGAACGCAGTACAATGTTTTACCATATCGTTAGATTTGCTTGTTGTCACAATATTTTGGAGACCACTGTAGCTTAACCCTATCTGGCCTGAAGATGGGTGGTCACTTTGACCTCCCCATCCGTTTTTTGGGATATGTCTAACTGTAATGCTCCTTAGATAAAGCTAAAATCTGGGCTTTTATACCTGCTGCTAGAGTCTTTAAGCATACTGCCTAGATTCCTTATTTTACCTATACTGAGACTAAATCTTTATTTAGACCTGCTTCCAGTCAATGGATTTCAACATTTTATAGCTCTTTGCACATATTTAGGTTTTTAAAAATTTTGCAAATGTTTTTGCACATTTAAATTTGCTTTGTCAAAGGCTTTTCAAAAATGTATAATTTGCACAGTTTTTGCTTTATTACTAGATTTCGCAATAAATATTTGGATTTTTGCCAATTTGTTATTTTTTTACGAAGATCATTGAAGTAAAGCCCAAGGGCTTTCCAAAAACGTATCAAATGTTACAGATTTGTATCACAATATGGAAATAGAGGGGTGATCAATTTACCCCCCCCCCCCCGGAAGCCAGTAAGTAAAACAGACGTCAGGCTAAATAGGGTTAATACCTGTAATATGTCTCCTAGTTTCAAAAATATTTCTCTTTTATCAAAACTACTTCTGCTAAGTTCATTGTGCTCCAGTTTTCTCCTGAAAATATATAAATATATAAATATGTCTAAATATCAATCTATTTGACATTAATTATATCAATAATTAATTTCAGAGAAAGGGAAAAGGTTACGATTATATAATGAGATTGTAAGCGTATTTTTAAAGGGATAGGCCGATTCATTACGGTATACCATTAAAAGCTGAACCCTTCTTCAGGTCAATAATGTGGTAGATATTTCGATTTGAATGCTTAAATAGGGTTTAATTTAGATTTCCTCCATGGACTCTGCAGCACAAATCCGCCAGTAACTTTAATAGGAAACCCCCATTTGCAAATAATCAATTTTCAAGTGAAAAGTTTAAAGGCACAGTTTTAAATTGGACATGCCACTTTAAATTGGACATGTCAACTTAAATTGGACATGTCACTTCATTGGTCATGTCACTTTAAATTGCACATGTCACTTTAAATAGGACAAGTCACTTAAAATTGGACATGTCACTTTAAATTGGACATGTCACTTTAAATTGGTCATGTCACTTTAAATTGGACATGTCACTTTAAATTTGACATGTCACTTTATTGGGCATGTCACTTTAAATTGGACATGTCACTTTAAATTGGCAGTCTCTTGAAATTCGTCTACTTACAGTTCCTTTAATAAAGGAAATAAGTTCAGCTACTTCTCTTATTCAAAAATATGGATCTGAGTCCGAATTTAATTAATTTGAGCGGTGTCTCAAATCCACCAAAAAACTAATTTCAATTGAGCGCCGGCTTAAATCTTGAAACATTGATTACAAATTTAAGCGAAAGCAACCATATTTGAGCCGCGTATTAAATTTAAGCCTCGGCTCAAATTCTTTAAATTCGGCCAGCAATGGATACCTGAGAGTGATAAGAAGATCCTGTTTTGATAATCCCTCTAATCCAGCCTCACTCCCAGGAGAGCTCTCACGAGATCTTCCAGGACTTGATCTTCGGTAGGACTGGGGCAGGATTACTCCTCCTACTACACCCCCAACCACGCCCCCTACTCTCATTCCACCTGGAGGGAAGGCAGTAGGCCGATTGTAGATCATATCTGTAAAAACAAGAAATCATAAAATTCAGTTTTTGTCATTTTAAATTTAAAAAAACATAAACTGTTTGATTTTCTGACCAACCAGATCTAAAATGTTTAAATACAAAAGTATTGATAACGGCCCTTAAACCTTAAATTCAAAAAATTAATAACCCAATTAATATTTGAAATTGTTTATCTTTATGCATAACAAATTTAACCAATCATATTCTAATCTCTTAACATAGGTAATAACTTACTGATAAGAGAACTAAACATGGATAGGTCGTCATTTATAATTTTTCTTGTATCACCAGGATTCCATTTTAATATATGCAATGCAATCTGAAAATAAGTTGATAACATATGCAATATTAACTTGTTACCTCGTAGCTCCTTTAATATTGATTTTACGTCTTAACACATTTATTAGTTATTAAAAATTCAAAATATTTTTGTTCTTCTCCAGATAGCTCTTTAATAGGAGGAGTTGGAGGAGTTATAATTGAAAAGATGCAAGATTGCAATCTAATGGGAAATGTACTTCCTGCAGTTTATATAAAAATTGTGTTTTATTTTGTATTCTTCTAAACCCTAAAAACGCTGTAGAATTATTGCAAATATAGCATTTAGCTCTCTATATATATTCGATCAATAATATGACATATTTAACATCAAGCAGACAGATTTTGATCTATATTTCGGCTTTCCTCCCTTAATTCTTTCTTCCATCTTTCCCTTTATTTTACACATTTTCAGAACTGTTTCGTTTGTCCCTTTATTCAAATTTTAGTCAACAAATTTAAAGTTCATCTTAATTTTTATATAAACCTTGCGAAAATTTTCCTCATATTTTTATTCTTTAACAAATTTTTACGCTTTCCTTTCCCTTGTCCTAGTTTGAAACAAGTTGTACTCCATAATTACACCACCATTTGACTAGTTGCAATGTTATATAAACCATCCTTGATTCATACTTTCACTTTTTAAATTAAATTCTTATATAAAATAATCGTATTTCATAATTAATGACGAATTAAGCATTTATTAATAGCTTCCACTTTATAAAGAAAGATTAATGAGTGAATTAGGTCATAAACTTCCCTAATATATAATGTGCCTATAAACCAATACAAGCCACGAAGTGTCATCAACAGTAATTATTTTACCCAACTTGCAAAAAGTATTCAGGTATTTAAAAATAAAAAATGTTGCGAATAAAATAAAAAAATAAGTGGTCTTTAATAATTTATGGAAATTTCCATCGACGATGTAGAATTAAAAAAATACATTTAAATCAAAAGGAAAATGAAATCTGCAATCTGAAGGATGTGCATAGTTTTGTTTTGTCACCCTGTATAAAAGCATAAAAAGCATAAGAAATGTGAAAAAATGCAGTTTATGGTGTACCCTGTGCAGTAGATATCCTCACCCCTTTACTATTTATTGATTTGATAAAGTTGTCGCATGCAATACTACAAATTATTCTATTCAAGCCAATTTCTCATATCAAGGGAATAAGGAGGTAGGAAGTAGGGGTAGGAAAGGGTTGGATGTAGGAGTAGGAAAGGGTTGGATGAAGAGTAGGAAAGGGTTGGATATAGGAGTAAGAAAGGGTTGGATGTAGGAGTAGGAAAGGGTTGGATGTAGGGGTAGGAATGGGTTGGACGTAGAAGTAGGAAAGGGTTGGATGTAGGAGTAGGAAAGGGTTAGATGTAGAAGTAGGAAAGGGTTGTATGTAGAAGTAGGAAAGGGTTGGATGTAGGAGTAGGAAAGGGTTGGATGTAGGAGTAGGAAAGGGTTGGATGTAGGGGTAGGAATGGGCTGGACGTAGAAGTAGGAAAGGGTTGGATGTAGGAGTAGGAAAGGGTTGAATGAAGGAGAAGGAAAGGGTTGGATGTAGGAGTAGGAAAGGGTTGGATGAAGGAGTAGGAAAGGGTTGGATGTAGGAGTAGGAAAGGGTTGGATGAAGGAGTAGGGAAGGGTTGAATGTAGGAGTAGGAAAGGGTTGGATGTAGGAGTAGGAAAGGGTTGGATGTAGGAGAAGGAAAGGGTTGGATGTAGGAGTAGGAAAGAGTTGGATGTAGGAGTAGGAAAAGGTTGGATGTAGGAGTAGGAAAGGGTTGGATGTAGAGTAGGAAAGGGTTGAATCTAGGAGTAGGAAAGGGTTGGATGAAGGAGTATGAAAGGGTTGAATGTAGGAGTAGGAAAAGATTGGATGTAGGAGTAGGAAAGGGTTGGATGTAGGAGTAGGAAAGGGTTGAATGTAGGAGTAGGAAAGGGTTGGATGAAGGAGTGGTAAAGGGTTGAAATTAGGAAAACAGTATTGGAGAAAATGGAAAATTCGAAGAGGAAATGATGTCAAGGTTACAGGCTGGGTGAATGAAGAGGAAATGATGTCAATGTGACAGGATGGGGTGAATGAAGAGGAAATGATGTCAAGGTGACAGGATGGGGTGAATTTTAAGAGGAAATCATGTCAAGGTGACAGGATGGGGTGAATGAATATTTGTTTTTCTGGAAAATTATCTGGTTGGTATTGGACTATCAACCTATCTACCTACCTACCTATATACCTACTAACCTACATACATAGGTATTTGTAATTAGACGGGTGGGAAAGTGGTTCTAGGTTGGTATGTAGGTAGGTTAAGGGTAGGTGCCCATTGTTAGGTGCTTGATGTGTATTTGGTGTGCAGGATAATTATTGTTTCGCTACTTAGCGAATTCCCTAAAGACCTAATGAAATCTATAAGTACCGAGTGGTATTTCTCTGGATAGGATTGTAAGGCTTCCTTCTCTCAACGCTCTCCATAACACAAGGATGATAATAAGGTTCCGAACGTTTATTTCTCTAAGCCTTCAATCTAAATAATCTTTTATAAGCCAACAGAAAAAGCATTGAGTGATAAATCATACAAATACAGCAATAAATCCACTCAGGCATTAAAAAACTGTGGCAAGGAACCCATACATTACATTATACAATATCAACCATAACCGAACATAAATAAACAATATTCATATAAATATAATCATAATTACCGCAGTGGTCCTAGAATATTCACACGGTTTTAATAATAGACGAACATTACATGAAATACAACTGTATACTGAAGTAGAAACTGCTCGCTCCTACGCAGGGAACTTGCGCATGCGTAGTCGGACTGTAAACAGCTTCTAAAACTAGTTCTTCACAATACGTTCTGTACAGATCCTCAGGGGGAACTCAGAGAATCACAGGGGTATCACATAGACTTTATGAACGCAGCGTAGCTCGCGTAACAATTATTAACTTCAAGTTTGTACTTGTCAGATCAAATTCCAGTAAGTATTTCATAAGCTAACATTTATAAACTATTTTTAAACAATTAAAATTTGAGAATTAGAGTTAAAATAAAATTTCGATGAATTTCGAAATTTTTGTTAATTTTGTTAATTTTGTTATTTATTTATTATATTATAAAATATGATGATAGCAAGCTCAATTGTTTTAAAACAATTTAATAGTTTTTGTCTAAAGGAACTCATGTACCTTAAAATTCGAATTTACAATCATGATATCTTTGCAGCCTGATGGCGTAGGTCATTGATATATTTTTTGATTATGCTGCTAGATCTAATAAAGGTATTTTTTAAAAAAATTTGAATATGCTAATTTTGTATTTACGTACTTAACAAATTTATTTTATTAAACCCAACCGCAAATTCCGAATATTTTGGTTTTTGGATGCTTAGAACTAAATATTGCCTGAGCAATAAAAATATTTCTTTTATTGGTCTTACTGCCTAGTTACCTAGCAAGTCTACATAAATCGGCTTGAATCAATCTAATAAGAAAACTTTAAGTTTTCAAAGGAACTGTGCTCTATGCATAAAAATACATGTTATTCAAACGTTTTCGGAATTGAACAATTTTGATTTAGATAAACAATAAACTTTGCGGAATTATCAAATATCTTTAAAATTTGTATGGATCATTTTCACAATTTCACATTCATGAGCACTCAGATTTTTTGTTAAACGCGCGCCAAAGGTAATTTGAACTAAAATTGTTGATTATTTGGTTCGTTTTTATTCGATGCTTTCCTATAGTTTCTTTATGGCATGTATCTTTTAGGGCCAATATTTGGCATGCATCTTTTAGGGCCAATATTTGGCATGCATCTTTTAGGGCCAATATTTGGCATGAATGCTTTTCTTACAATATGCCAAATTTAGACCCTGCAGCAAATATATGCTGAACAAATTTTAGGATAAAAATATTTCAAGATTTAATAAAAGCAAATTTTGGCAGAATACAGTTTTGAACATCTTTGAATGGTAATGGTTTCAAAAAAATATGGTCATGGTACCTGTAATGTAAATTTCTTTTTTCATGTAAATGAACAAAACTTTTAAGGTTAAATGAAAAAGAATGATTTTTAAATTTTTAAGTATTTTTTTGATAAAAATAATATAATGATATAAGAAAAAATCTGCAAATATTTTATATCTATCGCTCGGTGTTATTGAGTACATTAAATGTTGTGTTTTTATTAAGATTAATTGGTAGAATCATGATGTATGAGAAATTGGAGAAAATTATAAGAAATGATTAGATTGCATGTATTCTATTGTATGAAACTAAACCTTAACCTTGAACAAGGGGAATCTTTTCTTTCTAATAAACAGGGTTTATAGTTTTATTAAAATTAAAGGAAATTATTCCGGAAAATAAAGAAAATTGAATTCTCTAAAAAAGAACAATGAAATTTTAAAGCCCAAAGGATTCTTTGATACCTCTTTATAGCAAATTATTAATAAAAAAATGTTTCCATATAGCTAAATATATAGATATGAAAGCTAATTTTAAATGTTTCCATATAGCTATATATATATATATATATATATAATTATTAAAAAAAATATTTTTTTATTATAAAAGTGTCACTTGACACACATATATTTGAATATAAATTTGTTTTAAAATTTTTAAGTTTTTTAAATGCCAAAAAGCATTTTTAAAAATCTGATATATTACAATAAAACCGCTAGTTTAATGTTAAAATATTCCGTGTTTGTTAAAAAGAAATATTTAGAGTTTTGTCAAATAAAAAAAGGCATATTTTATTTATAAATGTTTGCGATGTGCACTCTAAAAATTTGTTGCAGATATATGTATAACATTTATAAAATTATAGTTATAGAAGCCTTCTTAGTGCAACTAGTAAAAATACATAAATTTTACCGTATTTTTCCTTTTTTCGTGTCTAAGCCTAATCCATCATTTCTGCGGAGAATATTTAGAATTTTCTAGGTCTAGGAATTAATCAACGAAACAAGGTCAAGAGGAGAAAGTTGCATTGAGCACATTCATTTTTCTAGAACAAAAAAAAATAATCGACTTATTCACGTCAAGCTGAAGTAGCATTGAAATCGTATATGTTTTCAATCGTAACTTCTCTTCTTCAAGAGCTAATTAAAAGTTAAACATTTCTAATATTTCTTATATAAAACCTTCTTTTTTTCTTATAAAATAAAACTAACGGAGCTACGAGGTTACGAATTCTGTCTTCCATCTAGTTCACAGTGCAGAGCACAGATTGGTTTTAAGAATAACGAATTCATAGATCGGTAAATTCAAGAATTTAAATATTTTTTTCGAGATTAAAAACTACTGTACTTTGATGATACAAATCTCAAAATCTTTAAATTGCGGGAAACAAGAATTCCAGGAAATCTCAAAAGTTTAAAGACTGAAGAATTTGGAGTGTTTCATATTCCTCTGATATCTGGAATATGCTAGAAGGAATTATTATACCTCTTTTCCAATGTCTTTAAATCTATAAATTGATTAGGAATCATACAAATTAAATATGGGAATTCTTAAATTTATTAGGAATTATTCAGTTTGATCACAGGAATTTTAAATTGATCAGGAATCATACAGATCGATCACAGGAATTCTTAAGTTGATCAGGAATCATACAGATTGATCACAGGAATTCTTAAATTGATCAGGAATCATACAGATTGATCACAGGAATTCTTAAGTTGATCAGGAATCATACAGATTGATCACAGGAATTCTTAAATTGATCAGGAATCATACAGATTGATCACAGGAATTCTTAAGTTGATCAGGAATCATACAGATTGATCACAGGAATTCTTAAATTGATCAGGAATCATACAGATCGATCACAGGAATTCTTAAATTGATCAGGAAACATACAGATTGATCACAGGAATACTAAATTGACCAGGAATCATACAGATCGATCACAGGAATTCTTAAATTGGTCAGGAAACATACAGATTGATCACAGGAATACTAAATTGATCAGGAATCATACAGATTAATCACAGGTATTCCAAAATTGGTTCCAGGAAAGTTTCAAGAATTTGTAAGTTTGTTCAAGAAATTCTAAGATTGTTACCGGAAAATTTGAAACTAGTTCCCAGAATTCCTAGATTTGTTTTCAAGAAAATATAAAGTCTTATCATCATTTTTAGAGGGTATATTGTAGTTAATTTAGTTAAGCAAGTCGTCCTAATGAAAATGAAAGGGGTATATAGGCTTACCTCGAACAATATTCGATGGTGATTGTTAGTTAATCTTACTTCTATCTGTTGCGACTATAAGGAGAAAACTTATACCGAAGAACGTAGCGTCCATACAAATTCATAAAGTTGCAATATTCGAATATTCGATTTTGAAAATGCTTAATAAAATATTCGAATACAAATATTCGAATATTCGATTTTCAAATAAATTCACGGCTTCTTTTTCATCTTTAAAAATAAATCACACGTCGTCATTTATTCTTTTTTATGTAACATGTTTTGTGAATCGTTATTGGTACTTTAAAATGTGTGCAACTCTACAGTCTGCACAAGTAAAAAACTAATCTTGATATAAACGGACGTACTTTGACATAAAATCTAACACTGCTTTTTTCTTCATGCGTGCATGCATTAGTAACTTTATATTACTGGAAAGTATAACTACCTTCCACTTGCAGGCGCAGTGGAAAAATGTGTGATGACAATTTCAAAAGAACTTTTATATTAGAAATATGTACAATTTGCTTAACTTCCATAATATTTTCACATTGAAATATTAAATAATAAACTACTAGGCACTATCTGTATACGCATTGTAAAAGTGCATAACAATTATAAGACAATCAACATGCCTCCGATCCTAAGAATTGATTAAAATACAAGGTTTTACGTATTTTCAATTTTACTCATTTAAAAGAGTATTCGCGGCATTAAACTAGTTATACATTGTGAAATGGACATTTTTTGTACTAATTGAAAAATGTTTAATAAAAGTTGAGTGATAGGGTAGCTCTGTAACTAAAAAATAACTTAAAATGTCCGAAACCCTGAAATCCACGAAAGATACACAAAATGTAAACAAACTCAGAGCCCAAAAATTAAGACATGGTATCGTTATTTAAACCAGTTCTAAAACCCGGGTTTTATGAACGGGGTTAGGAAGTTTTGTGAAAATAAATATTTTTGTTATGAAATATTATATAATTCAGTTTGTTTATATTGTCCATTTTTTTCGAATCTCTTAAAACAAAATCTACACAAATATTAAGTCGCCAAAAAATAAAACTCGGGAGCTTCGTTCAACGATACTCTTTTAAATTTCAGGCTCTGTGTTCCTTCACAGTACACTGCTTAATTTTCATAATTCTTGCGTGAAACTATGACAGAATGGTGGGTCTGTTTCACTCCAGGTATACTCTTTAACTGTAGCAGAATAAGCCTGCTTTCTACCATCCTTGTTCCAATACCTGGGTTCTAGTGGTTCTACTGTGTATTCAGAGCATACTGGGCAAATTGGTCAAACTCAGAACAAACCCTCTCCACGTGGACCAAATACAAATAATTTTAAATAAAAGATTTAAACATTTGAAAATATTTGAATTATTTGTAAATATATACTTTAAAAAATTATCTTTGTAAATATTGGATTTATTGAAGTAAAACTAAAAATATTTGATATATTTCATGAACAGAAATTATTCCTTTTTAAAAATCAAATTTATAATTATTATTGATGTAGCTATACCTCCCAATGGCAAATTTAATCTAAAGGGTTGATTAAGACTTAATTTTAAAAGAAAAAAGAAAAGAAAATGGTGTTTTAAAATGATATAAACTGAAATAAAAAGTCGTCTTTATCATATTGATACAATCACCTACCATTTTACGAAACTCACAGAAAATAAATAATTAGTAAAGTTGGCACAATATTTTTATCAAGAAAGACACGGATTTCTCCGTCGTCTGTTGTCAGAAAAAGGTTTAAATGGTATCGTGTGAATCTGACAACGGACATGCCACTCGATGAAATAAAGGATCATTTGAAATTATGTATACTATCACATTAAAATACTATTTATAGTTTTTTATTTGTAAATCTGTTTTTTCAATATTTATAAATTAGAGTTGTCTAAGTTTCGATCATTTTATGAATGATAAGTGAAACATTTTTAAGTTTTAAAGAAAACTCTCTAACACCCCTCTCACACGTATAAGATATTAAATACTTTCACAAAGGTTTTTTCTCAAGAGGCAACTTCCCAAGGGTATTTTCGCAAGCGGCAACTTCCCAAGGGTGTTTTCACAAGTGGCAACTTACCAAGGGTGTTTTCGTAAGGAGCAATTTTCTAAGCGGCAACTTCACAAGTCTGTCCAAGCCGCAGCATTCAGCTCCATTGCACATTTGGGAAGTTGCCAATTGGGAAATTGTCACTTGGAAAGTCTCCTTTGAAAAAACACCAGAAATAATACATAAGTAAAATAAGATCTAGAAGTCTAGCGGGAATTCAACATCTGAACCAGTCTCAGGGAAAAGTATCACTTTGCTACTCGAACACTCAGTCCTATATAACAAATTAAAACAATTCTAATATCATAAATTATACTTGTATTACAAAGCAGTGGTATATGCGCATTGTGCAAGCCAAAAATTATCAAGACAGTGTTTACATTGTTTTAATTAACAATGCACGGAAATTTTTAAAAATTACCCACCATTTTCTTCTTTTTTCAAAATAAATAAATGACAGTTTATAAATTTCTTTGTCTATTCTAACTATAGATGTAAATTTTTTATATTTAAAACTAAAAACATTCTTTTGATGGAAGGAGGGGACAGGAAATTTCCGTTAACAAAAAATAACAGCAATTTTTTTAAAGAAACGGTTAGTTACATACTGAACTTATCTGATAGTTTAACTAAACATTAAACATTAAATGGATTGTAAAAGGTGCCCTATTAGAGAAACTGTTTGTATCTCAAATATTATTAAAAGAAATTTTAATGTATTTCTTAAACTAAACCTGTGTTTTTATAGCTTTTTTATTACAATATTAATAAAATCACCCTGTATTAAAGACTAGATAAGTTGAGCTAAATATCCTTGAATACCTGTATTTAGAAAGGTCAAGCTTCAAGAGACATCCACTAGTCAGTTTAGGATGGCCTCGGTTAGATCCCGACCTATTCAGTAGGAACCAATAAACTCTGGAATAGGAATTCTACTTTTTGATTTTAAATCTTATAGATTTTGGACTTAAAAAGTTTCGAACAAATCTGAGAAGTTTTACAAGTTTTAAAAACATTTTTTATTAACATTTACTTTCATTACTTATCAAAGTTTAGCCATAAGAGAAAAAAAACATACAAAAAATATAGGGAAACATTAATTAGCTGCGTATAACAAGTGTATGCTTTTCTTTACAATTGCTCTTTATAAATGAATATATCATATGCTTAAAAATATGCAAGACTTAAACTTAAACAAACTCTAGCGAATAATTTAAAAATGAACATGGACTCTAAAAGTAGATCTTTATCTATAGCCTTGCACATTTGATTCACAATAGTACTATTCAAATTCTATGTATAGTCATTAATGCATGAGATATTAATCATCATTGTTTTGCAGTATCTCTATAAAGTGACTTGCGCATTTCTGCTTAACAAACAATATGGGGAAAATCAGAATGAAGCACTTTTAAAGTAAGTTTAACGATGATATCTTCCACAATAATAATATAACGTTCTAAATGGCACTGTTGTGAATTGGGCATTTATTGAATGGAACACAGGGATCCATAGGTTGCAAGCTCTCCCGCCAAAACCAATGGAAGTTTTGCAGATTACTTTTTAAAACTGTTAGCATGAAATATGTGTTCTATTGTTCTAAAATGTACTTATACAAAAAGTACAGGTAAGCTGGTGTGAACACGTTGAAGTCGAGCCTGCAGTCTTGAAAATAAAGTAAACCGTCAAATGTTTCAAATAAGTTAGATTTTGAAAATAGACAATTCTAAATTGATTTCGAAAAAAATTTATGGTATCTTCAATTAACTATTTGATACTACAATTTAATTTAGTATTTAAAAAAATTTTAAGAATCCATGACTATGACAAAAAAGCACCAAATAGTGTAAATGTAAAGGTATCAAACCTTTGCGCTGGAATTCTGAATGATAAATCGGCTTTTTCTCCGACCACAGTTGTCTTTGATAAGTAAGAAGAATACAAATGAATGCTAATAGGCTATTTAGTTTACCTGTAAATACCCAAATAAGTGAACGGTCCCTTTAAATATATAATGAATGGTTAGTTACCTGCAGTTTTCAAGTTGTTGAATGATCCCATCATACACAGAACTTTTAATACTTTAATCCAACAAACACTTTCGTAAATGCCTGATGTATGAAGGCTGAATTTGACATAAACGAAAAATTAGTAACTTACAAACATAACACATGCTAGCAACACACATTGCATTGAAATCGTCTTTTTTAAGAATTAGTATGTAATATCTAATCTCAACAGCCATGATAAAGTTAAGTATGCAATAACCACTAGTGTTGTGCATTTCTTTGGTTTGTTTTTAGAGCGTTTTTTTCAAACCATTGTTTTCTTTTAGGGTCAAATGTTGACCCTAACTGAAGATATGTTTAAAGAAAGAGCCAAAAACTATCCAAAAACTATCTAAAAACTATCCAAAAACTATCCAAAAACAATCCAAAAACTATCCAAAAACTAACCAAAAACTATCCAAAAACTATCTTAAATCTATCCAAAAACTATCCAAAAGCTATCCAAAAACTATCTAAAAGCTATCCAGAAACTATCCAAAAACTATCCAAAAACTATTCAAAAACTATCCAAAAACTATCCAAAAACTATCCAAAAACTA